TCAGTGGAGAAATGGTTAACACATTCATTTGTACCATGGAATATTATGCAGTCATTACAAGTAATTTCTTAGGGCCAAGCATAGTGGCTCACACCTGTAATCCCAGCACTTTGGGAGGCTGAGCCAAGCGAATCATGTGAAGTCACAAGTTCAAGACCAGCCTGACCAACATGGTGAAACCCGTCCCTACTAAAAATACAAAAATTAGCCAGGCATGGTGGCGCACATCTGTAATCCCAGCTTGAAACTGGGAGGCGGAGGTTGCAGTGAGCCGAGATCTCACCACTGCACTCCAGCCTGGGCAACAGTGAGACTCCATCTCAAAAAAAAAAAAGTAATTTCTTAGATCTGTAACAATTAACTTGGAGAGATTGCCACAGTGTATTACGTGAGAGTAAGATGCAGAGAAGTACAATATGTAAACCTACAATGACAACCCCACTCCATATACGTATATTCTGTATATGACTGTATGCGATTATATGAGGATGGATAAAAGAATGAAAGAATACCAAAGATTATTAACATCAGTTGGGATTGGGGAGGAACACTTTTACCTCTGCTCAAAGAGCCACAATAAAAACAGTATAAATAATAATGGTCCAGTTTAAAAAAAATTTTTTTTTTAAAGTTTTTCTTCACTTATTTTATCTGTACAACAATAATGATCCCATGTTTATTTTATTTTTTCCTTTAAGAGATGGGATCTTGCTATGCCTAGGCTGATCTTGAACTCCTGGACTCAAGCAATCCTCCATCCTTGGCCACCCAAAGTGTTGGGATTACAAGCATGAGCCACTGCACCCAGCCATGGTCCAATTTTTAAAAGAAAATAAAATGTTTGTGCTATAATATAGGTGGGAAAGGTAGGTACAAAATTTTAGGTAGGCTTCATTAATAATTATGTAAAATATTCTAGAGAAAAAAATATTAACAGGCAATACAAACAAGTGATCATGATAGCTGTTTAAGTAGAGACATTATAGTTGCTTTGTCCCCTATATACTTTCCAAATTTTCTCTAATGTAGGTTTTTGGTTGTTTTTTTTTTTTTTTTGAGACAGAGTTTCGCTCTGTCCCTCAGGCTGGAGTGCAGTGATGCCATCTCGGCTCACTGCAATCTCTGCCTCCCGGGTTCAAGCGATTCTCCTGAGTAGCTGGGATGACAAGTGTGTGCCACCATGCCTGGCTAATTTTTAAATTTTTAGTAGAGTGCAGTTTCACCATGTTGGCCAGGCTGGTCTTGAACTCCTGGCCTCAAGGTATCCACCTGCCTCGGCCTCCCAAAGTGCTGGGATTACAAGCGTGAGCCACCATAGCCTGACCTCTAATGTAGTTTTGTTGCTTTTGTAATTTACTACATAAAATTTCTAACTCACTGTCCATCACACATGTTTATTATGTCTCATGGTGGTTCATACCTGTAATCCCAACACTTTGGGAGGACAAAGTGGAAGAATTGCTTGAGGCCAGGAGGTCAAGAACAGTCTGGGCAATATGGGGAGACGCTGTCTCTACAAAAAGTAGAAAGTTAGCCATGCATGGTGGACATGCCTGTAGTCCAAGCTATTTGGGAGGCTGAGGCAGGTGGGTCCCTTAAGCCAAAGAATTCAAGGTTACATTGAGCTATGATCATGCCGTTGCACTCCAGCCTGGGGAAAGCAAGACTCTGGCTCTACAAAAAATAAAATAAAAGAAAGTCTTATGTCTTGAAATAAGTGGTCACATGTACATATGTGAGCATGTGAGCATGAGGATATTCTAGCTCAGAAAATGTGTAAGTTTTCATTTTACCTATGATATATGGGTTTTTTGTTTTTTTGTTTTCAATTAGTTGTAGATTAATGACTAAATCTCCAGGAAAAATCACCCACAAAAATCCCACAAAGGTATGGCTTTGCATATTTAAAGATTTTCTTCCCCCAAATAGTAACGGAAATCGCTTCTAAAGACCATTTTTAAAGCTGGTGGCTTTGGGCAGGCCACTTCTCTTCCCCTCCTTAGGTCTCGTTTGCTTCTTTTATAAATGAAGAACTTGGATAGAATAATGTTCTTAGAGCCTCTTTGACGGTAATATTCTGTGATTTCATTATATTCATCCTAGAATGGATTAGATGTCAAGTAAATTAACAATTGCTAAGGAGAAGAAAGTTTTCATCTTAGAAATGTTTGTATCAGCTATGAAAAAAGATTAAAGATAGTTAGGGAAGATGCCCCAGCTTGCCATAACTTTCATGCTTACGTGAAAAATGTGCAAGAGTTTAAACAGCATATGGCTTTGACTTTGGGCCTTTCTTTATATTCGTCATTTATAACCATGTAGCTATTTTCCAATGGCTTTTTACCTGTGTGTATCCTCCCACCCTGCCAACGTATTATTTTGCTTTATAAACCTCAGTATGCGATAAAAAGTATTTTTGTTTTGGTTTGGATACACTCCATATTTTATAATAAAGTCTTTTTTTTTTTGAGACAGAGTTTTGCTCTTGTTGCCCAGGCTGGAGTACAATGGGACGATCTCAGCTCACTGCAACCTCTGCCTCCCGGGTTCAAGTGATTCTCCTGCCTCAGCCTCCTGAGTAGCTGGGATTACAGGCATGCGCCACCACGCCCGGTTAATTTTGTATTTTCAGTAGAGACAGGGTTTCTCCATGTTGGTCAGGCTGGTTTGGAGCTCCTGACCTCAGGTGATCCGCCCACCTTGGCCTGCCAAAGTGCTGGGATTACAGGCGTGAGCCACCGCGCCTGGCCTTTTCTTTTGAGACAGAGTCTTGCTACATCACCCAGGCTGGAGTGCAGTGGTTGATCTCGGCTCACTGCAGCCTCTGCTTCTCAGGTTCAAGTGATTCTCCTGCCTCAGCCTCTGGAGTAGCTGGGATTACAGGCACCTGCCACCATGCCAGACTGATTTTTGTATTTTTAGTAGAGACGGGGTTTCACCACGTTGGCCAGACTGGTCTCGAACTACTGACCTCAAGTGATCCGCCCATCTCAGCCTCCCAAAGTGCTGGGATTACAGGCAAGAGCCACCACATCCAGCCCATAATGAAGTCTTAAATCAGCTTTCTTCAGATATAATTTATGTAAGATAAAATGCACCCAATTAAAACATACATTCAATGAGTTTTGGCAAATTTGTGCACCCGTATACCACTGACACAATTAAGCAGTAGAACATTTCTATCATCCAACAAAGTTTCCTGTGCGGCCAGGCATAGTGGCTCATGACTGTAATCTCAGCACTTTGAGCTACCGAGGAAGGAGAGTCACTTGAGCCCAGGAGTTCGTGACCAGCCTCAGTAACATAGTGAGACTCCTGTCTCTATGAAAATAAAAAAATTAGCCAAGCATACTGACCTCCACCTGTAGTCCTACCTACTCAGGAGGCTGAGATGGGAGGACCACTTGAGCCCAGGAGTTCAAGGCTCCAGTGAGCCATCCTAAGGCCACTGCACTGCAGCCTGGGCAAGAGTGAGACCTCGTCTCAAAAAAAAAAAAAAAGTTCCCCATGCCTCTTCCCAGTTATCCCTCCACCTCCTGCTCTAGGCAACTGTTGATCTGCATTTTGTCACTATAGATTAGATTTGTCTATTCTAAGTGATGAACAAAGTTTAAACTTGTGTTTTCTTAATCTTGGATAGTGTTCATATATTTGTATTGTTTCAGTCAGGTTTCTTAGTTGTAAGCAACAGAAAACAATCTCTGGCTGATTTAAGCAGCAGAGGAATTTGTTGAAAGGAGAGGGACAGCTTACGGAATTGCTGGGAGGCTGGAGAATCGAGTTTGGGATTCTATGGCCAGCAGCAGTGCCTAAATCACATAATACAACTGTTCTAGTGAGGAAAGCACCGAAACTAGCACCTGGAATTTCCTAATATGTTTGTAACGGATAATGGTCACCACCACCACCCTCGCTGCCACTGCTGTCTTAGAAGGTAGAAAGAATATCGAGTATCTGCCTTAGGAATTCTTTTTGCAACTGCCAGTGTTAATTGGGGTAGGTGCATCTGAGTGGTATGTCCTAGGCATATATCTGTCATGCCTTAGCTGCAAAGAAGGCTAGAAGAACCTGGTGCTTTCAGCCTCTATAGTGGGAGGCATTTGATCAAGTCTCATAAGGCAGGGGAATTCTTCAAACTTAGGAAAGGGTTAAAATGCTGGATGGCTGAAAAGAGGGCCAGTATCCACAACACTGACTGTGTGCTAGACTGCATTCTGACTTTGCAGCTTCATGTCCAATGGTCACATCAGACATGGCCTGTTTGCTAAGCATTTCCTGGGTGCAAAGGAGTCTACCAGGTGCCGAAAGTGGGGACAAGGCTATCAAGGAACATACTATTTAATGGAATAGAAACAGATGTATTTGCCTTCATATCTGCTCAATTTTTTCTCCTTAATTTCCCTGGGGCTGGGTGTGGTGGCTCACACCTGTAATTCAGCACTTTGGGAGGCCAAGGTTGGAGGATCACTTGAGCCTAGGAGTTTGAGACCAACCTGGGCAACATAGGGAGACCCCATCTCTACAAAAAAAAAAAAAAAATTCCAGGTGTGATAGCATATGCCTGTGGTCCCAACTATTTGGGAGGCTGAGGTGGGAGGACCTCTTGAGCCCAGGAGGTCAAGGCAGCAGTGAGCCATGATTGCATCACTGCACTCTATCCTGGGTGACAGAGCAAGACCCTGTGTGAAAAAAAAGAAAAAAAGAAAATTTCCTTAAACTATAACTTGCTAGTAAAACCAATATGTCTTAATTAATTGATTTGATCCAAAAAAGAATGTAGCATATTGAAAAACTACCCTAAATTTGAATAATGAATTTCATATGTATTCACAAAATGTATTTACCTTTATGCTAAATGTTTACTCAGTATTTTTCCTCTTCTGAAATTGCATGTATCTCAAGCTGTGTTCATTTCAATTTTTTTAAGTTAACATATGAAGTAAATCCAGTTTCTCTGACAATTTTACCTGTTATCCTTTACTCTTGATTTGAATTGACAGGTGCAGGGAAGAGGAGGTGGCCTGAGGCAGGACGATGAGGATGCAATGTTGAAGAATAAGCTGGAGAAGAGAAGTAACCGGCACTATGGAAAAAACCAAAACAAAGCAAGGTCAGATTTTTCCCATGTCTTGTTTTAGGACTTAGGATTCAAGGAATGCAGGTTTTTGCTTTGTCTTACCACTGTCTCGAGACATGACAGTATGTTAACTATTTTCATTTTCCTATCATCATATAATGACTATGAAGAATATAGACTGGGTGCTGAAAAAATAGGAAATGCTATTAGAATTTGGTCTGTGTTGTTATTTTATTGTTCTTAGCAATAACTTTAGGACTGCCTCAGAACAACTTGCTGGGTAAGGCCAAGACACAGATTCAACTACTAGACATCTATCATCTTCTAGACTAGCCTAGAAGCATAAGTGCTTTCTCTTTTAATCTTTACCATATAGAAACAACTATATAGAAGTAGATTCTGTTATCATCTCCAATTTACGGAAGAGGAAACAGTCATAGGGAAGTCAGGTGACAACTACAAAGTATCAAAGTTAGGTCTGGGATCTGGATCTTTCCTCCCAAGCCCTGATTCTTGCTATTATACCAGGCTGTTGGGACATAGTATGAAATTGTCTAAATAATCTTTACTCAAGCCTATGCAGGAAGTTTGGGTAACCTCAAATCATATGGATTTTATAGGGACAGCCTGCTGTGTGTATAAATTCTGGGCTAAGGTTATATATTATTTATGGACTTAAATACTGAGGCTGGAGGGGTTTCCTGTACCAGCATGCCTTAGGAGAACAATATACACAACCACACAACCAAATGTTTGCAACCAGGGGCTTCCTCTATAAACTGCTTGATGCATATAACGTGACACACTGGAGAAGAAGCTAAATGGATAAGCAACTAGCTGAATGTTTTACATGGATTGCCTCATCTTTACGGCCAACCAATGTGGTTCTGAAAGTGCATTCTAGGCCAACCTCTTTTTCTCCCTAGGTTGTGAATGGTTTTCTTTTCCTTTCTCTTTGCTTTTCTTTCTTTTCTTTTTTTCTTTCTTTTTCTTTTTTTTTTTTTTTGACGGAGTTTCACTCTTGTTGCCCAGGCTGGAAAGCAATGGCACAATCTTGGCTCACTGTAATCCCGCCTCCCGGGTTCAAGCGATTCTCCTGCTTCAGCCTCCCGACTAGCTGGGATTACAGGTGCCTGCCACCACACCCAGCTAATTTTTGTGTTTTTAGTAGAGACAGGGTTTTACCATGTTGGCCAAGCTGGTCTTGAGCTCCTGACCTCAGGTGATCCACCCACCTTGGCCTCCCAAAGTGCTGGGATTAGAGGCGTGAGCCACCGCGCCTGGCCTGTGAATGGTTTTCTACAACCTACTACTTTCTCTGTGTGTGCCCTGTGCTTCCTGAAGTCTAGTATTATACATTACTGTTTTCTTCTGCCTGCATCTTTCCCAGAACCTTTCCGTTGACAATTCCTTCTATCAGCCTCTTGCCCAGGAGGACAGCAAGATTCCCTTAGCTGAACTTGGCAGTGACAGCAGGGCAGAGTTCAGAAGTCTGGCAAAGATCAGAGGTGGGGGAAGTAGAGGATATTTTATGCAGGCTTGCTGAGATCAGTAAGTGCCTGGTGAAGAGCCGCCTTCCTGACTGTAGAACTGTTCCCGCAGGTCAATTTCAGTTAGCCTCAAGAACATAAGGGAGACACTTCCTGCAAATTCCTTTCTGGCTATTTAGTAATCACACATCATTCAGTTTGGTTGAGAAACTTCCCTACTGTGGTAAAACGTGGTTTTCTATTGCAAGAGAATATCAGGTAGATAACGGTTTAGTGATTAGGATGTGTGAATATGGACACCACCTACTTCAGCTCATTCTTTGTTCCTCTGGAATCATCGGTTTCTTGTCATGCAGGCACAAATGTAGGATCCTATAAGTTTCCTTATTCCCTGCATGTATCTGGAGAGGATAGGGACAGAATGAGTATTGTTGATTGAACAAAGCTTTTTCTCCCTGCAGGAGAGAATGAACATATGCCGGTGAATAATCCTTCCACGCAGATTTACCAGGTAAAGACAAATCGATTGTTTCGAATGCTCCCATGTATAACAGTGATGACTGACTATTCTTTACGTGTAGATGTTTTTAGCACTCACAAGTGCTTCCACATATATCGTTGCACTTACTCTCTTAACAGGGCTGTGAGACAGGCACCTCAGTGGGTCTCGCCACTCACAGTGTACTTTGGAGATAACTGATTTTTTTTTTTTTGAGACAGGGTCTTGCTGTGTTGCCCAGTCTGGTCTTTAACTCCTGGGCTCAAGCTCAGGTTCCTGAGTAGCTAAGACTATATGTGAGCACCACTGTGCCTGGCTGAGAACTCATTATTGAAAGACAAGTTATCCCGTTTATGAAATGCAGCACTATCACCCCCACCTCAACTCTGCTTCTCTTGCTTGCTGCCCCCATCGCCATGGCCATTACACTGCAAGATAACATTTCCATCAGAGAGGAGAGGGCAAGATCTGTTTTTCTTACTTTTCTATTTTAGCAGGGAGAATTGAGAATGAAAAGGGGGTTAACATTGCAAATGTTCAAATATCTGTTCAGGAAAAACTTTCAAGCTCTTTTTAAACAATGGGAACAATTTGCTTTACAAGGAAGATGAAAGTTCTGCAGAACATCTTTGCAGTAAGAGTCATATGAGATTGCCTTGGTCCTCTAAGTGGTATTCACTTGGCTTCTGTCTCCCAACTGTAAATTTAAAGTACATCTCTGTTCTTAAAAATCATGAAACTTTATTCTGACATAATTTGTAATATAAAAGCAGCTTGGGCTAGGGAAACCCATGCTCCTCTCCAGACTTCAGGCAGTGCTTCCTGGAATACGTGAAAAGGAAGAAAACATTGACAGAGCTTGGTGGGGGTTGGGAGAAAGGATGCTTTCAAAGTTGATCTAAGGTTTTAAGCCCTGGTCACTAGGAAAAAGAGTACTCTCTCAAGCAGAAATACAGGAGTCCAGAAGAGTAGATAGTTTAGGGGAAACGTTATTTAGATTTGTCTAGTTTAAGTGACGGTGAAGTGAAAATGACAACTAGTTCCCAGAATTATCATGTAAAAGATCTTTGCTGTAGACCAAACTGGAGCAAATCAACACAAGATTATGGAAACATGATTTAACCGTATTGCCCCTAGACTCAGGCCAGCTATAGGATGAATGGGGGAAACAGCATCATTTCAACTGAATACACATTTATTGGGCAGTTACTATGTGCAAAGTCTACTGCTTGGCCTCATGGCAGATTAAACAGATGAAACAGACATTCTCATTGATTTTTCTGTGTCCACAACCTGAAAAACACATAGAATAATAGTTCTTACAAGGTAGGCTGTTGAAAGGATTGTGATAGAGGCGTTGATAAAATTCTGTGGGGAAGGGATGATTTAGTATTGACTGGAGGATTTGATTTAGGTACTTAAGGACAAGTTGATCATTTGACAAGTAGGTATAGGTAAGGTTGTTTTGGGCAGGGAGACTAGCTTGAACAAAGGCCTAGAAGCAAAAAAAAAAATGGGTCTTCACTCAGTGCTGCTTTGATGCCTCACTGGTCCAAGTCCTCCAGACGCTTTCCCTGTCCACCTCCCCTCTGTTCTCATCTGACCTGTGTATGACATTTGAATGAGTGTGAGTACCTCTTTAAAGTCAGGTATGATTTAAAGTCTATTATAGATTTTATGTAGGTCACTCCCTGAATGTTGGCTAAATATAGCTGCAGTGGGGGTGGCCTCATTATCTTATTGCACTACAAATCCTAGTACATCTGTTCGCAGTGGAACACACAAAGCAATGGAAATGAAGTTGGTCTATATGACCTCTGTGATGCTATTATAACCCATCCTTGTTTTAAAAGAACACTTTCTAAGCCCCAGTCTGTTTACTCCAAGCAACATTTAACCAAAAGAAGAAGAAGAAAGAGGAGAAGTAAAGAAAGAAGAAGAGAAGGAGAAAGGAGGGAGCTGGGGAGGAGTTAACCATAATAGAATAAAATCTATAATAGAAGGGAGGGCACCTGAAGCAAAATATAATATTTTGGTAGTTCTCTACCTCATTTTATTTTCTGGATAGATCCTATCCCTACCTGACATTATCGTATGTATCACCTTGTTTGTTTTTTAATTTTCTGTCTTCTCATCTAGAATGTAAGCTCTAAGGGCAGGAATTTAGTCCATTTTGCTCTCTGTTGTATTCTCAGTGTAAAGTACAATGCCTGGCATATAATACATATTCAATAAATATGAGTTGAATGAATGAATGGATGACTATATTACAAGATGTCTGTATTGCTTTGAGCCAAGAGGTCTCATGCAGTCATTCAGTCTTGTGCCAAACAGTGTTGGAAAGATTTTTGTCTGGTTCTTTGGAAAAAAAGAAGAGATCCTCACTTCATACCCCAATCAAAACAAATGCCAAAGTGGATTAAAGGCTTAAATATAAAAAATTCAAACCATAAAATTTTAAAATAAGTGAGTATTTATTTTGTCTCCAAATGTGAAATATCTAAGTTAAAAAGCAATGGAGGAAATCACAAAGAAAGAGATTTGAGAATTCATCCACATTACAATTTAAACTATTTCCATAAAAAAAATGTTAAACAAATTCAGAGGCAAATAACAAAATCAGAAAGACACAACAAATATTTCAAGGTTTAATTATAAATAAGTAGTTCATGAAGGTCAATAAAAATGGAAACTTCTAAAACCCTAATAGAAAATTAGCAAATAACACAGACAATTTACCAAAGTAAAATTATAGATAGCGAAGAAAAAGTTGAAGCTCAAAGAAGCAATGATTAAAATAAGGAGTATTATATTTTGACTAATTAGCAAATAATAATTAATAATATTTAGTTCTGGTGAGTGTGTGTAATTGTTAGAAACTTTTAGAAAAGTCTATTCCGTATTTCCTTTTTCTCTTATCCTTTGTCCACTGCACATACCCCTCTCAAAGTCGTTGAATCAGATCTCTTTTCCCGAGTCAGATGGTATCATTTCACCCTAGATTACTTCATTTTGCATATGGATTATTAAAATTATGATCTCATTAACATGAGAGGGGATCCCATAATTAAGGCAACAGACATAGTAACTGCACAATTTAATGCTAGCCCAACACTCACACTAATGATTTCAACTCCAACTGTGTTTTAAGCTCACTTGTAGTCTTAGGAATGTAAACACTGTGGCTTCTTCTATTTCTATTGTTTTATATATTTTATTATTCAAGGTATGTTTTTCTAAATCCATGAATTTAGGACATTACATATCACATATAATGTTTCCAAGAATATACAGCCATATTGCTATAACTTTTCAAATCCGCTGGTCAAATATAATTTGCATAGTTATTAATTAGTTGAATATATTGCCTCCCTGTGATATAGTAGCTTTCCCTTTGGGTCAAACACTACCTGACATCTTTGACCCACAGGCATTTCATATTTAGGAATTTATTCTAAGGAAATAATCTGAAATATATACAAAACTTTAAAACAAAAACATAGTATGACAGCATTAGTTATAACATTGAAAAATTACAAGCAACATAAATTTCCAACAAAAGTGAATGGGTAGGTAAACTCTGGCAAATTCATAGGATGGAATATCATGTAGCCATCAAACGTAGACATTTAGAAAAATTTTGAAGGTTATCGTAAATGCCTTATTAGAATATCAGGAGGGAAAAAAGAGAGGTAGAATCAAAATATATCTGCAGTGTGATTTCAACCATATAAACATCTGCATTTATATGCATAGAACAAAATAGAAGGAAATGTGAGTGTTAATGGTTGTACTGAAATAATGAAATTTGGGATGATTCTATTTGGCAATTCTCTTTTTTCTTCTTTATTTTTCTCCGTAATGAAAATAATTTAAGAAAATAAGTGATGTTCCAAAAGGACCTCTAACTGAAACACTATGGGAACCAGTCCTACAGTAATAGGTTTCATCATCAAAACTGCCGTTGAAAGTTTTCTAGGATTTGTAAATCCTGATTGAGACTCAGTCTCTTTTTGCCATTGAGGAATATTCTTCTGATACTAGAGAAGTTAACTCTTCTAGGCCTGTGGTGTATCTGGGGATCAATAAGATAAAGTTCCAGCACACCAGGCTGCATGTCAGTCTCAATAAGGCCCTGCAAGAATGACTTGAAGGGTCAGCCTCTGCAGGGAATGTAGAGGAGTAGATATGGGAAGTTTACTCTCGACATTCAGATTACTTGCTCCTCACTTTCTATTTTAAATCATTGCACCTCTGGGGATCAATAAAGAGCCCTACAATTGGAAGATGGAAGTTGGCAGAAAACTCATGTTGCTTCTGCAGTGACCCTGGTTTAGGGGGGAATCCAAAGCAATTACCTTGGCCTCCTTGCCATCGTGTATGTGCCACTGCGAAACACCTGGCTTTTGCTTTTATAGAATTGTAGGAATCGGGAGGTTTCCCAAACCTTGACATTTATGACTTTGCAAGGTTCCCAAGCCACAGGTCCAGTCCCCCTAATTTACCTCTTGGTAGCCTCCTGGCCTGGGTAATGTGGCAAAAAGGAAGAAATGCCCGTAAAACACACGTTGAAATTTGTGAAAATTAAGTTTGAGGCCTGAGGGATCTTTCATGAAAAAAAAAATTGGAAGACACTGACTAAAATTCATCTTAAGAAGAGTTAAGAAGCCAAGAAAAGAAAGAAAATTGAGAATCAGAAATTAAGAGCAGGAAATAGGAAGAATTCGGACTCCTCTCCCCTATTTCTTTGAGCCTAAGATGCCCTCTGTGGTACCGTAGGCTTCGAAGTACAAGTCTTCCCTGAACCTACCTCCAGTGGGAGCCCGCCTCCAGCGGCAGGATGGAGGGATCATAACCTCTCTAGAGCAGCTTCATGAAAAAATCAACGAGATGAGGAACGTGTTCAACTCGCTGGAGAACAAGGTAGACACCCGTTTCTAATCCTTGGGGTGGGCTGTGGGCTGTCAAAAAAGAAAGCTGAAGAGAGAGCAGAGAAAAGATGTTAAGACCGTGTCTTCACAGTATTTATTGTTTATAAGGGAGTGGTCAGGTTGATAGTTGAAAAGCACTCTGTAGGGGCTAAAGATACTAAGATCCCTCAGCATCTTAAAAGTGACGTGTTGTATCAGGTGTGTGTCCTCCTGACGGCTTCCCCTCCCTGGCTGGTCAGGGCTGTGAAGCTGTTTACAAAGCAGTAGCAACACTTCAGTGGCAGGTACCCATGGAGCTCAGAGTAATATGTTGGTAGGAAATGGGCACACAACTCAAAAATAGCTTCAGAATTCCCAGAGTTCCTATGTCACCTGGCTGTTAGGGGAAATTTTAATAAGTTTTTGAGAGCTGGGGTTCTGCAGGCAGGAAGGTCCTTTTCCTAGGAGTCTGCTGCTGCCTTTTGGTCTCTGCAGAAAACTCTGCCTAAGGAAGCAAGGATAATGAAACCTATTTCTGTTGGGTAGTGGTTCCCTTTTTTTTTTTTTTTCCCAAGCAGGAAACCTAAGTGAATGTTACTAAGAAGAATGTCAGCTTTCCTTCTTCCAATTTTAAAACTTGCATACATTTTTGATTTGATGTTATATAGCCATCACTTTTGTTTATTTTGCTTACAGAAGATACATTTACATAATGAAAAATTACCAGATCAGAAAGTGGTTGATCTGGTGATTTAATCCACCATGATGACTGAGTTAGGATGTAAGCCAAAATCAATTGCAAAGATTCATTATAATTAAAAATGATTGAAATGAAAAATAGATTGCTCATGATGTTTCCCAGCCTTCTAGCCCCAAATACTTGACAAGCCCTGCTTTTTTCCTCAAAATGATCTCTCTGGTTCCTCTTATTTCTCTCTATTCCCAGCAATCCTTTGTAAGGCACAATGAACCACAAAATCCTATATTTTTAAAATGTGATATAGGAGACAAAGTCACTGTATAGTGAGTGGGAGGTGCCATTGCAGGTGGGAATCATGTGGATGGCCTGATTCTGAAAATTTTCAGAAATACACATTCAAAGAAATTTGTTAAGGTATCTGGACTTTAGTTTTCATTCCTTTAAAGTAAAAATACTTGAGGCCGGGCGCAGTGGCTCATGCCTGTAATTCCAGCACTTTGGGAGGCCAAGGCAGTTGGATCACCTGAGATCAGGAGTTCAAGAGCAGCCCAACCAATATGGTGAAACTCCGTCTCTACTAAAAACACAAAAATTAGCCAGGTGTGGTGGCACATGCCTGTAATCCTAGCTACGTGGGAGGCTGAGACAGGAGAATCACTTGAACCCGGGAGGCAGAGGTTGCAGTGAGCTGAGATTATGCCACTGCACTCCAGCCTGGGTGACAGAGCAAGACCCTGTCTCAAAACAAGACAAAACAACAACAACAACAACAACAACAAAACTTGATTATAGAATAAATCTTCTAAATGGTTCTGTTTTAAAGAGACACGTGGAGCTAAGAGTTCCTCTACTTAACAGAGTGTAAGATCGTAAATGTCAAGAAAGTAATGTTATTATCTTATTGTTATTATTAACTTACTGTCTGTTGAAAATGCTTTTTTCATTTGTTCAATAAACAAAACTGAACTTTAGAAGTGCTCCATTTTCTCCACATTTCTGTTTGTGCTTAACTTTTTGATTTACCACCTAAAGGGGGAGAAGAATGAACATTTCTTGAACATCTGTATACCAAGTATGTGCTATGGTAGGCCGCTTACCTACGTTTACTCATTTAATTCTCAAGGTAGCCCTGTGAAATAGATATTATTATAGCTATTTTATGGATGAGAAAACTGCTACAAAAAAGTTAACCAACATTTCTAAGGTCTTAGTATTTTAGGGTAGAACTAGGATTTGTACCCTACCTGATCCCAAACACCTCTTTCTTCATGTCAAAGTTGACCTACATGACCAGGACTGACTGCTGAAGATGATTCATATCACCATCAACAACATTCTGAGCTCCTACCATACCCTACCAGATATTTCTGTGCCTTCCTTATGAGTTAAAGCCCACTGTCATTGAAAATACTGTTACCTCCTTTCCCATGATATCATCTAAGAGTATTTTTTTTTAAAAAAAAAAACCTTCTTTCCTTTCAAATAAATTCTCAGTTATGCTTAGTTGTTTCTGTTTATTCTTTAATTTCTTAAGAAAACAAGAACTGAATTTCCTTGCCTCTCATAATAACCAGAGAGAATATGACCCATTTTCTTCTTTCACAGAATTCAAAGAGTTATTGGATCAAGATTCACATACATGTTTCTTTTCAAGCAAATCTCATTTTAATCAAAGGTGTTAGAATAAATAGAAGCTTGTAGAAGCACTCGTAAACTTAATTAACAGCTTGTTTTCTTGTCATTTATCAAGCTTCAGCATGTGCTGTATATAAAGAAGACACTCTTTTTCTTAGATAAACGGGGCCAAGGTTGTCTTAAGTTGTCCAAACTGAAGTACACTAGTAAATGAGGTCTGTAGATTTTCAGGAGCCTCATTTCTCAAACAAAAGAAAAATTCAAGGGCCAATGGTGCCACTTATAATAATTTCCAGAAAATTGAATTAACTTTTCATGCGTTATTTAGTTGCAGGCACTGGCCTCCGAACTCAAAACTGGCTTCACAGAAGCAATGCAAGAACTGTCAAGAATTCAACATGGAGAATATGCTTTGGAAGAAAAGGTTAAGAGCTGCAGATGTTCCATGGAAGAAAAAGTTACTGAGATGAAGAATTCATTAAACTATTTCAAGGTAGGCCCCTCTTTAATTTCCCTGCTGACAAGAGAATTTTGGTCTCGGTAACAGGAGTAGAAAACTTGCCTTTTTCTGGCTGGGCATGGTGGCTCACACCTGTAATCCCAGCACTTTGGGAGACCAAGGCCAGCAGATCACAAGGTCAGGAGTTCAAGACCACCCTGGCCAATATGGTGAAACGCTGTCTCTACTAAAAATACAAAAATTAGCTGGGTGTGGTGGTGGGCGCCTGTAGTTCCAGCTACTTGGGAGGCTGAGGCAGGAGAATCACTTGAACCAGGAAGTGGAGGTTGCATTGAGCTGAGATCATGCCACTGCACTCCAGCCTGGGCAACAGAGCAAGAATCTGTCTCAAAAAAAAAAAAAGAAAAATATAAGAGTTTTTCCTCTGGGCCATTCATAGTTATCACGGAAAAATATCTTTCATGTTTTCTTTTTTGTAGCTCTGTGTTAAAATTTGATGCCACAATGGAAGTATAAATTTTTAAAATCTCTCATTCATTCAATAAGTATGTATTTAAAGTGTACAGTGTGCTAGACTATGTGATATACTTTTACCCCATATATAACCCATACATTACCCATAATAACCTATCAGATATTGAAAACCAGCATAACCTTGTCTTTGTTTCATAATGATAGTTGTCTGGATACTTCTAAATTTCAATTGAATTAAAAATAATTTATTGTACAGTCAATACTGTGCTAACCCATGTACCACATTAAAACATAGCAATTCTTATTTTTTTAGGAAGAACTGAGCAATGCCATGTCGATGATCCAAGCCATTACCTCCAAACAAGAAGAAATGCAACAGAAAATCGAACAGCTTCAACAGGAGAAGCGAAGAGAATCTCGAAAAGTTAAAGCCAAGTGAGTGTCTTTTAAAAATGTACCAAAGGCAAACCCATAAGCAATGGCTTCTGCAGAGGCACCCGGAACACCTTCCCCACTCTCAGTATACAGCCTGCTGGCCACTGTGCTCCACAGCTCGGCATGCAACGGAGGTTATAGAATTATAAAATGGGTTAATACCAAAGACAGATGGTACCTATTACATAGAAAAATCCATTTAATATGATATGTAAAATGAAAGTGACATAAAATGGCATGAATGCTTTGATTACAAGTATAAAAACATGTAAAATAACAACTAGAAAGAAACACTTAAAAATAATGAGAGTTGTGTTAAGATAGTGGCACCATCAGTGATTTTCTTTTTTTATTAATTTTGTAAAATATCTCTAATGCAATTATTATTTTAATTCTAGGGTTGAAAATAAATTTATGTTAAATGATGTCTGGACCAGGTTGAATCAAGTAAAGTTTCACCATTAAACATATATAATCTTTATTGTCACTTATGTGATTGTGGTTTCGTTTTTCCTTTTTTCTTTCTTTTTTTTTTTTGGAGACAGAATCTTGCCCTGTTGCCCACGCTAGAGTAGTGGTATGATCACAGCTCACTTCAGTCTTGTACTCCTGGGCTCAAATGATTCTCCCACCTCAGTCTCCTGAGTAGCTGGGACTATAGGTGTGGCCCCCATGCTAGCTAATTTAAAAAAAAAAATTGTAGAAATGGGGTTTCCTTATGTTTTCCCAGGCTGGTCTTGAACTCCTGGGCCCAAATGATCCTCCTGCCTCGGCCTCCCAAAGTGTTGGGATTACAGGCATGAGCCACAGTGCTCAACTTACGTGTTTTTTTTTTTTTTTTTTTTTTTTTTGAGACTGAGTCTGGCTCTGTCGCCCAGGCTGGAGTGCAGTGGCCGGATCTCAGCTCACTGCAAGCTCCGCCTCCCGGGTTTACGCCATTCTCCTGCCTCAGCCTCCGGAGTAGCTGGGACCACAGGCGCCCGCCACCTCGCCCGGCTAGTTTTTTGTATTTTTTAGTAGAGACGGGGTTTCACCGTGTTAGCCAGGATGGTCTCGATCTCCTGACCTTGTGATCTGCCCGTCTCAGCCTCCCAAAGTGCTGGGATTACAGGCTTGAGCCACCGCGCCCGGCTAACTTACGTGTTTTTAATATTATCAAATTGAAAATAGAAATGTAGGAATAATATGTGTGTGACCTTGGAAAATAGGTTGTTTTCAGGAAAGGATTTGCTGCTTCCTGGTACTTTTGAATTGCATTGCTAAGCAAATATAAATCATTTCAAGCAAATTGTCACCACTGCAAACTCTAAAGATCCCGATGAGAAGGAAGCCAGTAACAAAAAAATAAGAATGTGGATATTATAATTAGAAGGGTGATTTGTAAATATTTGAAGTTTTTTCTCCAGCTGAGGTGATGAATTAAGTTGAACCATATGAATTGCTAGTATTTGACCACTTTTAATTTTCAAAAATAGCAATTTATATAGTTCAACCTAATAATTTAGACATTTTCTTGAGTTGTTCTGAACTGAATCTCCTCGTAACCTATCAGATACTAAGAACCAGAATAGCCTTGTCTTTGTTTCTCTTTCCTAGGAAAACTCAAAAAGAAGAGCACAGCTCCCAGGCCGGGCCTGCCCAAGCACAAGGAAGTCCTTTTCGTTCAATCAATATCCCTGAGCCTGTTCTTCCAAGCGAAGACTTTACCAACCTTTTGCCTTCTCAGGCCTATGAAAAAGGTACAGTTCACAAATCATACTGAATTAATCAAGTATTTTTTCCCTGATTCCTAGGGCTTAAGAATGGGCTTAAACCCTCCATCTTTGTTAAAAGAAAATGGTGTATTGCGTAGAATTTTTCTGCTTGTAACTGAAATTTAGAAGAATCCAGAGGATCTAAGAGACCACAAGAGTCTGCCCAATTTTAAATATTTTTTTTTGGGGGGGTAGAATACTAATCTGGATACTTCTAAATTTCAACTGAATTAAAAATAATTCATTGTACAGTCAATACTGTGCTAACCCATAAGAGAGAAATGTTAGAAAAAATATCACTTACTCTAATAAGTTATTTTATTGGCAGTCTAACTCAGCACCTGTCTTTCTCTGGAAAACCAGAGCTGATGCTGCCTATGGGCTGAAACAGTCACCACTCTTATTCCTGACCTTTGGGATGTTAGAACAGATATTAAAAAATGGTACCGAAGAAACTGGCTTTCCAGTGGAGGTCTGAGTTTTGGTTATTAACTTATGTTCAACTCAGGAAAAGTAAAAAACAAACAAACAAAAAAATTTGCCACGTCTTTGTATCCTCAACCATGTCTACCAAAGCACCTGTAGATAGAAAAATAAATGTAGATATTAACATTGTTTAGATGACATTTCCTCTTATTTATGGTCTCACGTAGAAAGTCCTCAAGACAAAGACTCAATGATTTCTCAACCAACTGTCAGTGTGTCAAAGGCAGGGTTGGTGGTTTTCTATCCTTAAGACTAATGGAACAATTTGGTTTATATACTCATAGACAATGTGTATTCTGAATAACTGAATCTAAAAATCTAAATCAAGTGGCTTTTAATTGTTATACTTCGAAGTACAGATTTGCCTTTTTAATTTTTTTTTTTTTTTTTTTTTTTTGAGATAGAGTCTCGCTCTGTTGCCCAGGCTGGAGTGCAGTGGCGAGATCTCAGCTCACTGCAACCTCTGCCTCCCAGGTTCAAGTGATTGTCCCGCCTCTGCCTCCACCTCCCAAGCAGCTGGGACTACAGGCATCACCACGCCTCGCTAATTTTTTGTATTTTTAGTAGAGACAGGGGTTTCACCATGTTGGCCAGGCTCGTCTCGAACTGCTGATTTCAAGTCATCCACCCACCTCGGCCTCCCAAAGTGCTGGGATTACAGGCGTGAGCCACCGTGCCTGGCCTGTCTTTTTATTTTTATTTTTTTTACCTGTTTGAGTAATTCATTGAGAGACTGATAGGCGCAGCCTAGGAAAACTCACTTGATCCATCTGGGGACTGGGTTCATTACAGGTGGCTCTATTTTCTTTCCTCTAGGACATGAACAGCTCTACATAAAAGGATGATCCTATCTGGGAAAGAGTATAGTATAGGATAGGCTTAGAATGTAAAAGTCAGTTCAATGCCAGTCTGGAGCAGCTAAACATGTTCATAAGATAAAAGGTTAAAAATTATCTTTACAAAGTAAATTTGTGCATGTTTAGACAATGTGTAACAGCCCCCAGGGACATGAATAATCACAGAATGTGTTGAATCCACTGAAAACAGCTGATCCAGATGATTTTAGTGCCCACATGGATTTCAGTGAACTATTTAGTGGCAATTCCTCCTTCCTTTCCTCCTGTATAGACATGGTCATAGTTTATTCTCCTGAGTTGCTGCAGAAATTTAAGAATAATGTGCCATGATAAGACATTCTGCACATACTTGGTGGCAGATTGTGTTAAAACTCAGGGGTCAAGAACCAAAAACTCAGAAAGTCTTGGCTTATCCACTGTTAACGATAAAATGGTACAACTGTTATCTATTGTCCCAAAATTCAGTAGCTTAAAATAGCAAACATTCATGGTTCACAGTTTCTCTGAGTCAGGAATCTGTGCACAGCTTAGCTGAGTGCCTCTGGCTCAAGGTGTCTCATTAAGGCTGTAATCAAGGTGCTGGCCATGGCTCTCATCTCACGTGAAGGCTCTACTCACGGGTGATCTACACCAAGCTTACTCACTTGGTTATTGGCAGGCTCCAGTTCTTGTAACATGGGCCTCTGCAAGTTGCTGCCTTACAATTTGGCAGCTAGCTTCTCCCAGGGCAAGTGATCTAAAAGAATGCTCAATACAGAAGCCACAGTGGGTTTTTTTTTTGTTTTTTTCCTTTTTTGAAACAGAGTTTTGCTTTTGCCGCCCAGGCTGGAGTGCAATGGCACGATCTCAGCTCACAGCAACCTCCACCTCCTGGGTTCAAGCAATTCTCCAGCCTCAGCATCCTGAGTAGCTGGGATTACAGGCACCTGCCACCATGCCCTGCTAATTTTTGTATTTTTAGTAGAGACGGGGTTTTGCCATGTCTCTGGTCTCAAATTCCTGACCTCAAGTGGTCTGCCCACCTTGGCCTCCCAAAGTGCTGGGATTACAGGTGTGAGGCACCATGCCCGACCCACAGTCTTTTTAGAACCTAATCTTAGAAGTGGTATTCTGTCTTTTCTGCCATATTCTATTAATTAGAGGCTAATCAGTAAATCCAGCCTTTACCTTAGGGGAAGGATAACATAAGGGCGTGAATGCTAAGCGTGGGGATAATTGGAGCCATCTGGAGCTGCTTACCACAAATGGCTGACGGCCCCCGTCTGAGAAGGCAGCCAATTTATGTGAACCCTGATGCAACAACTTCATTTATGTGCCTGATAATTGTAGAACTTGTCAGTTTGAAAACGTCATTTTACAGGCCCAAGTATACCTTTCCTTTAGGTTCCTTTCCCCACCCAAGAAACTCTCAAGATGTTTAGCCTCCCTACTCCTGATATATTCTTGCTTGAGAAAATTGAAAACTAATTTTGTTGAAAGATATGCTTTTATTATCCATCTCTTCTTTCTTACCTCCTATTTATTCTACCTGTTCAATATTGGCTTTCATCCTTACCACTTCACTAAAATGGTTTCCTTACCTCTCCTGATAGTTTTTGGTACCCTTGATACCCACCTTCTTGAAACATTCTCTTCTTTTAGCTGACACTCTGCTTCTTTGATTTTCCACCCACTTTCTGGATGCTCCTTTTTAGATTCTCTTTGATTCCTCATCACCATCAGAATAAAGTCCAAGTTCCTTAACACAGTACATGGCCATGTTTTAACTTGCCTCTGCTTTTCTCTTCAGACTTATATTTTGTTACCCTTGACTTCTCTCTCTGCATTCAAGCCCCCCTGACATTTTCCCTCCCTCCCTCCCTCCCCCTCTCTCCCTCCCTCCCCCTCCTCTCCCTCCCTCCCCCCTCCTCTCCCTCCCTCCCCCTCCTCTCCCTCCCTCCCCTCCTCTCCCTCCCTCCATCCAAGGCACTGTTTTAGGTGTTAAGATATAGGAATAAACAAAACAACAAAAATTCCAGCCTTCATGGAGCCATTTCTCTGAGGCAAGCAGACAATAGACAAGATGAGTAAGATATGTAGTATGTTAGAGAGTGATAAGTTAAGTAAAAAAAAAATAAGTAAAGAGGAATTGTCATTTTAAATAGGGTGCCAGGCAAAGACCTGAAGGAAATGAGAAAGTTCGCTTATGGCTACTGAGGGGAAGAGAAGGAACAGCCAGTGCCAGGGTCCTGTGAGAATATGACTGATGTGTTCAAGGAATACCAAGAAGACCAGCGGGAGTAAAGCAGAGTGAACCAGGGAGAAAACAGGAGGTGCAGTTAAAAAAAAAAAGAAAGAAACAGCAGGCATGAGTTGGGAGCAGATATTCCAGGGCTGTATGATCATTATAAGGGCTTTGGCTTTTACACTGAAATGGGAGCCATTGGAGGGCTACGCAGAGAAGTGATAGGGTCTGGTTTACTCTTTTTTTTGAGACAGGGTCCTGTTCTGTCATCCAGGCTGGAGTGCAGTGTCACAATCTTGGCTCACTGCAGCCCCAACCTCCTGGGCTCAAGCGATCCTCCTATTTTAGTCTCTCAAGTAGCTGGGACCACAGCACATACCACCATGCCCAGCTAATTTCTCTTTTATTTTTTGGGGGGTGGGGAGCGGGGGGCGGGTAGAGACGGAGTTTTGTCATGCTGCCCAGGCTGGCTTACATTTTAACAGTACCATTCTGCCTTTTTTTTATTATTACCATCATACCACTGCCACCACCATTATAGTTAAACAACTATTTAACTCTTACAATATGCCAGGTAGAACTTCAAGCAGTTTACAAATACTAACTTATTTATTTTTGTTGTAATCCTTGAGGTAAGTACCACTATTGCATCTTTTTACAGCTGAGAAAATAGCACTTGCTACACGATACTGTAATTTCTTTTTTTTTACTGCGCTGCCTCCCCCATGAAACTGTAGAATCTCTGAGTCTGCCCCCAGTGCCTGGCTCGCGGAAGGTGCTTAGTCCATGTTAGTGGAACAAATGCTGAATGAATGCTTTCCTTTCTCTGCAGCCCAAGAGTCCAGATCTGTTCATGTAGGAGACAGTAATGTGAAGGGAATGATGGGTCCTGGTAAGTGGCTCTTCTCTTAGTTTTCTTTACTTCCAGCAATTCCATTCTTTTCCTCTTCTATCTTCCCTGCGTCCACTTCCTCAGTTTCAAACCAGGCATGAAAGAACTCACAAAAGATAAAGTTACGAAGTTACAAAGATTCCAAGATGTGTACTAGAGCAAGTCAGTGACTCATTTGAACCCAAGGAGAGAGAAGGGCTAGGGAAGGTTAAGACAAAACCAGTATGTTTTATCCTTTCTGGCTTATTTCAATGACTAATGAATTCACATTTGCCAAAAACTTGCAGGTTAATGTAGCATGACGTAAGTTTTCCGTGGATCACACACTGTATAGTTTAATTCAAAAGTTATTTACTTTTACATCTGTGTAGTGCAGGTAATAAAGAAAGGACTAAATAATGGAAAACAAAAGAAGATAAAAGACAACAAAATTTTAAAAAGAATTTACTTAATTGACAATTCATCAGAATTTTATAAATTATTTAATCTTCCCTCTCTCCTTCCTTTCTAGCATTAGGATCAAGGGGAAAATGCCCAAAGAAGACATTGTTTTTGGCACCCTTCCTCCTCCCCTTTCTGTGTTCTCTTCTCAGGAGTGCTCCAGCATCTGTGTGCTCACCTGAAAGGAAGCAGATATAAGGAGTCAATACATACTATAAATTAGCTATACTATTTGATAAATTCATTTTTAAAAACTCCTTATTTAGTAAAGACTATGTATAAAGCATAGAGGATGTATAGACCAGAAACAGAGGGGACCCCATGCAGCTGTGTACACTTTTAATCCTTAATTGGTATATTTAATCCTCAAGGGATAGTTGTACCCAAACAAAGGCAGATTCATTAAGAGTTAGTAACAAGGCCGGGTGCAGTGGCTCATGCCTGTAATCCCAGCACTTTGAGAGGCCGAGGCAGGTGGATCACTTGAGGTCAGGAGTTCAAGACCAGCCTGGCCAACATGGTGAAACCTTGGCTCTACTAAAAATACAAAAATTAGCTGGGTGTGGTGGCACACACCTGTAATCCCAGCTATTTGTGAGGCTGAGGCAGGAAAATTCACTTGAACCTGGAAGGCAGATGTTGCAGTGAGCCGAGATGGCCCAATTGCACTCCAGCCTGGGCAACAAAAGTGAAACAACATCTCAAAAAAGAAAAAAAAAAGAGTAACTTTTTTTTTTTGAGACAGAGTCCCACTCTGTCACCCAGGCTGGAGTGCAGTGGCACAATCTCGGCTCACTGCATCCTCTGCCTCCCAAGTTCAAGCCATTCTCCTGCCTCAGCCTGAGTAGCTGGGATTACAGGCACCCGCTACCATGCCCAGCTAATTTTTTGTAGTTTTAGTAGAGACAGGGTTTCACCATGTTAGCCAGGATGGTCTCGATCTCCTGACTTCGTGATCCGCCCGCCTCGGCCTCCCAAAGTGGTAACAAACATATTTTTAAAAAAGATTTTGATAGCACTTTTGTTTGTTTCCCTGCCCCCACCCCCACCCCATCAGGAGTGAACCCAACAACTCCAGAAGCAGAAGAAAACCTCAAGTCTTGCCTCTCGGCTGATATCCAGTCCAAGGGCCATCTCCCATCTGGCATGTGGAGGCAGCCTAAGGATGGTAAAGAATGGGGTGAAGAATACGTCACGAAAGACCACCCAGATAAACTCAAGGAGGCTGGCCAGGGTAGACACAGCTCCTTGGAAACCGTTTTATGTGAAACCTCCTTAGCTGGTAAGTTCCAAGGGGGAATGCAGGCTGATAGTTTAAAGAACGGGATGTACCAGAGCTTTGAACTCAAAGGTGAGAATCCTTGCAGTTCAGATTCAGTGGACACATGAGGCCACCTAATTCCTGGTTTCCTTTTCAGATGAACTAAAGCCTATAGAGGTAAAGGGACTCATTAGAGGTCACAGGGCCAGTGACTACCACCTTGATTCTGCGTGTTCAAGACACTTAGTAATGGAGTGCTATGGGGGGGAAAAAGGCATAAGGTTGGTGGAGAAGAAGGCAGAACTATTTAGCCAGTGATGTAGAATCTTCTAGAAGCAAGCCTTTCATCAACAGTCTACCACCAAAATATCACACACTGCAAGAGAACCTGTCCTCCCTCCTTTTTCCCTCCTTCCTTCCCTTCATATCACAAATCATTGCTGAACACTTACTGTGTCAGACAATGGCATTTCCCCCTGGCTATTTTGGGGGAGGTAATTTTTAAAAATTATTTTGAATTTTTAAAATCAAATACATGAAAAGTCAAATAGCATTAAAAGGTTTGTTATGAAGAAGAGCGCCAACAATTTTAAACTCTTTTGACAGTTTTTTCTGGTACTTGCTTCCATGTTTTCTTTTGGGGGACATGGGGGAGGGAGAATGGCAGGCTCAGGCTAGGTACGCAGTCCTCCTGTGCTTCTATGTTTTTAAAATATGTTTAGCCAGGCATGGGGGTTCACACCTGTAATCCCAGCACTTTGGGAGGACAGGGTGGGAGGATCTGTTGGGCTCAGGAGTTGGAGCCAGCCTGGGCAACATAGTGAGACCCCTGTCTCTACAAAAAATAAAAAAACAAATTAGCTGGGCCTCCTGGCATGTGCCTATGGTGCCCGCTACGTGGGAGTCCAAGGTAGGAGGATCACTTGAGCTCAGGAGGTCGAGGCTGCATTGAGCTATGATAGCACCACTGCACTCCAGCCTAGGCAACAGAACAAGACCCTATCTCAAAAAAAAAGAAAAACAGTTTGACACTATTTTTTTTTTACTAATACTTTATTGAAGGTGAATTTACATACAGTAAAATTCACAGAGCTTACATTTAAGCTAATAGACATTTTACATGTGTCTATCCCCTGTGATCACCACCCAGATCAAGATATGCATATTTCTGTGCATGAAAGAATCTGAAAAAGTTGTTTCATGCACTTTGCTGGTCAATATCCACCCAAAGAACCACTATTGTGACTTCTAGTACCACAAATTAGTTTTTTCTGTTCTTAAACTTCATGTAAATGGAATAATACGGTGTGTACTCTTTTGTGTCTGGCCTCTTTCTCCCAACATAATGTTTTTAAAAAAAGATTTATGCATATTTTTGCACACAATTCATTCCTTTTTATTAATCACATTGAATGAATTTATCACATTTTTAAAAATCCATTCTCCTGTTGATGGACAGTTTTTTTTTGAGACAGAGTCTTGCTCTTTCACTGAGGCTGGAGTGCCATATTGTGATCTCAGCTCCCTGCAACCTCTGCCTCCTGGGCTCAAGTGTTTCTCCTGCTTCAGCCTCCTGAGTAGCTGGGATTACAGACATGCACCAGCGCATCTGGCTAATTTTTATATTTTTAGTAGAGACAGGGTTTCACTGTGTTGGGCCAGGGCTAGTCTGCGGAAATCCCTGATGATATCAAGGTGAAATCTGCCTCTGCCTCGGCCCTCCCCAAAGTGCTGGGAATTACAGGGGCCGGTAAGCCACCAATGGCCCGCCTCCCAAAGCTAGCCACCATGCCTAGCTAGCTATGAATATTCTTGTACAAATTTTTTTTTTTAGCAGGGGGATATATGCCCTCATTTCTCTTGGGTGTATAACTAGGAGTGAAATCTTTGGGTTGTAGGTTATGATTATGCTTACCTTTAAAAGAAAATGCCAAGCAGTTTTCTAAAACAGTTGGCTAATACTCCCACTAGCAATGTATGAGAGCCCAGTTGCTTCACATACTTTCCAATACTCGGGAAGGATGTTTAGTCCTTTCCATGTTAGCCATTCTCAGGGAGGTGTACTGGTATCACACTGTAGTTTTAATTTGCATTTCCCTGGTGATTACTGGTATTAAGTATGTTTTTGTATGCTTATTGGCTATTCATATATCTTCTTTTATAAAGTGCCTAAGTAAGTCCATTGCCCAACTTTTTTTGAGGCAGGGTCTTGCTCTGTTGCCCAGGCTGGAGTGCAGTGGCACGATCACAGGTCACTTCAGCCTTGATCTCCTGGGCTCACGTGATTCTTCCTTCTCAGCCTCCCAAGTAGCCAGGACTACAGGTGTGCACCACTGCACCCAGCTGTCAATTTTAAACTCTTAAAATAGCTTGTGACTTTCTTGTCTTTCTAGGAAATATTTGCTATTTCACAGTTGTGAAGATACTCTGGTATGCTTTCTTCTAAAATCTTTATAGTTTTAGCTTTCACATTTAGATCTATGACTTATCATGAATAAATTTTGATGTACAGTGTGAGAAAGGGCTCCAGGTTCATTTTTTTTTCCAGATGGCTATCCAGTTGTTTCAGCACCATTAATTGAAAATACCTTCTGTTTCCCATTGTTGCATGCAGAAAGTCAAGTGGTCTTATATGGGTATCTAATTTTAGACTCTCTTTTTAAAAATTCCAATTATCAGGTAATTGACATATTGACAGTATTGAGTCTTCCATTTGAAGAACATGGTATATCTCTTCATTTATATAGATCTTGAATTTTTCTTAGCAATATAACAGAAACTTTACTATTTAACATCATCAGTGTTTTTAGTTTTTAATTTATTTTTATCCATTTAGTTTTTAAGAGGTGGGGGTTTCCCTTTGTTGCCCAAGCTGGCCTCAACATCCTGGGCTCAAGTGATCCACCTGCCTCAGCCTCCCAAGTAGCTGGCACTACAGGCACAAGTCACTATGCCCAGCCATCTTTTTTTTTTTTTAAAAGAGCATTTGCCTCCGTCATCCTATTCTGCTTTGGCCCAACGTACTGCCATCATCCTGGGACTTTCCAGTCTTCTTAAGAATTCCCTTTATATTTCTCCTCTGTTCGATTTCTGTTTCTGTGTTGCTGTTATTGATTTTTTTCATCTTCTGTATCCTTGGTTTCTTGGTTTACTTCCGGTTTTGGTGGAACACATCATCCAGTAGCTTCTGCATATGTAATCACTTGGCAGGTCCTTCTTACCAGCTTGCTGTGCAGGTGGAGCTGACTTACTGCAACTGCTGTATTGCAATTGAGAAAGAGTTGAATAAACATACAGCAAGCTACGCAGCAGACTGGAGTTTATTATTCAAATCAATCTCCCTGAAAATTCAGAGACTGGAGTTTTTTTAAGGATAATTCGCTGGGCAGGGGGTTATGGAATGGGTGCTGTTGATTGATTGCAGATGAAATCACAGGGATGTGGTCCTCATATGCTGAGTCAGCCTCTGGGTGAGGGCCACAGGACTGGTTGAGTCATGGGTTGTGGGTCCAGGTGGAATCAGTCAGCTTCCAGAAATGGAAAAGTCTGGAAAAATGTCTCAAAAGACCAATCTTAGGTTCTACAGTAGTGATGTTATCTATAGGAATAACTAGGGAAGTTACAAATCTTGTGACCTCCAGAACAATGGCTGATTATCATTTAACTATGCTTACATCTTAGTGTAATTCATAATCTTAACCTTCTGACCTTTCATTAGTTTTTCAAAGCTAGTTTGGGTACCAAATTGGAGGGCATGGGGTTAGTTTTGGGAAGGGCTATTAGCATCCTTGCTTTAAGTTGAATTATGAACTAAATTGCTCCCAAAATCTCAGCCTATGCTCAGGAATGTACAAGGGCAGCTTGAAGTTAGAAGCAAGATGGAGCCAGCTATGTCAGATTTCTCTTGCTGTCATAATTTTGCAAAAATGTTTTTACATAGTTGATTAATAATTTGGCCAAATATGACATCTTTTTTCCTCATGATTTTGAAGCAATTGTTCCACTGTCCTCTACCTTCTAATTTTGCTATTAGGAAGTCCAGTACCATTCTGATACTCAGTTTTTTGTATGTTACCTAATTTTTCTTTTTCTTTTTCTTTTTTTTTTTTTTCTGAGATGGAGTTTCCCACTGTCACCCAGGCTAGAGTGCAGTGATCTCAGCTCATTGCAACATCTGGCTGCCAGGTTCAAGTGATTCGCTTGCCTCAGCCTCCTGAGTAGCTGGGACTACAGCCGCCCACCACCACACCTGGCTAATTTTTGTAGTTTTAGTAGAGACGGGGTTTCACCATGTTGGGCAGGCTGGTCTTGAACTCCTGACCTCGTGATCCACCCGCCTCGGCCTCCCAAAGTGCTGGGATTACAGGCGTGAGCTACCATGCCCAGCCCGTTACCTGATTTTTCTATCTGGTAACTTTTAGGATCTTCTTTTTGTTCGTGGTGTGCTAAAGTTTCACAGTGATGTAATATGCCTTATAATGATGTGAGTCTTTTTCATTAATTTTGCTGGGCACAAGGGTCCTTTTCTCTGGAAATACATGTCCTGGGAATTTTTTTTTTCCTGTTATTAATTTGATAATATCTTCTCATCCATTTTCTTTCTTTTCTCTGAAACTTCTACTAATTTGATGTTGGACCTCTTGGATTGATTTCTCAACTGCCATCTTTTGCTCTTCTCTTTTTCTTCAATACACCTCTCTTATCTTTTTTTTTCTTTTCTTTTCTTTTTTGAGACGGAGTCTTGCTCTGTCACGCCCAGAAGGACTGTAGTGGCACGATCTCAACTCACTGCCACCTCTGCCTCCCAGGTTCAAACTATTCTCCTGCCTCAGCCCCCTGAGTAGCTGGACAACAGGCACACGCCACTACGCCCAGCTAATTTTTGTGTTTTTAGTAAAGACGGGGTTTCACCATGTTGGCAAGTCTCGATCTCTTGACCTTGTGATCCACTCATCTCGGCCTCCCAAAGTGCTGGGATTATAGGCGTGAGTCGCCGCTCCTGGCCCCTCTTATCATTTTTATTTTTTAAGAAAGGGAGATTTATTTTACTTCATCTTCTACCCTTTTAATTTTTTCTATCTTTTAAGCAATGTTTAAAAGTTTCTCCTTTTTAAAAATTAGCCTCTCTTTTTAAAAATAGTATCCTGCAATTGTTAAATGACTGGAATATATTTCTTATATTCCTTTGAGAATATGAATTGTAAGATTAAAAATTTTTATTCTTTTGTATCCTGCATTGTCTCTGTTTCTTCAGGGTCCTCCCTCCTTATAAAAAAATATGTGTGTATATGCTTTTTTCTTCTCATTCTTTTATGGTATAAGCTTTATTCAAAAGTGTGAGCATTCTTAGCTAAATATATGTAAGAAAGAGCTCTTAGAAAAACTCTGGAAATTTTGTATTGGCCAAGCTTGTCAATCAGTGGGCTTCATTATGGATAGGCTAATCAGATGGCAAATTAACTTTTGATAGTTGACCTCTTTTTCTTTTTTGAGACAGAGTTTTGCTCTGTAGCCCAGGCTGGAGTGCAAGGGCGCGATCTCAGCTTACTGCAACCTCCACCTCCTGGGTTCAAGCAGTCCTCCCGTCTCAACCTCCTGAGTAGTTGGGATTACAGGCATGTGCCACCACGTCCAGTTAATTTTTGTATTTTTAGTAGAGATGGGGTTTCACCATGTTAGCCAGGCTGGTCTCGAACTCCTGACCTCAGGTGATCTACCCGCCTCAGCCTCCCAAAGTGCTAGGATTACACGGGTGAGCCACCGTGCCTGGCTGATAGCTGACCTCTTTATATCAGTGTCTGTGGATCTTTTTTCCTTGGGCAGTTCAGTTTCTCAAGTGGAAGACCCTCCAATCTCCTGCCTGAAGAGTTTAAACCTGGCTGCTGCTGGCACTCTGGGATCTACAGGGGAAGGAGGCTGAGGGAAGTCTCGCTGTTCAGTATGAAGCCTTCCCTGAGTCCCTTTGTTTTCATTTTAGCATCTGAACTCTACTATGCCATAAGTCTTTAGCCCAGATCCCAGAAACCAGGGCTTGTCTAGTTTCCTTTTTCTTGTTTGCCGTGGAGAGGAAGTGAGGAAGCCATCTGGTATGGGGGTGAGGATCTGGAGGTTCAATTGCCCCATATGTAGACTTTCAATGTTTGCTCCTGCTTTCAGCATTGCCACTTATTTGCACTATCTCTATTGCCCCTGGTGTCTCCAATCCTTGAGCTTTCCAGATGCTTCTCAGCAGATTTTCCAGCTGCAGATGGGGACACCAAGACTTTGTGCCCTTTGCTCTGCTGAATGAATTATGGTGCCTCCATTCTGCTTTCTACCTTTCAAAAACTTGCAGATGGTTTTTTTAAATTGTTTTCAATATCCTTTTATCGCTTTTATTGCTTGCATTTAATGGGATTTTAGGAAGAAATGGTTAATATCAAGTCCTTCTTTGGTTTGTTTCTAAAGCTAAAAGACAGACTGTGGCCCTGGAACTGCTTGAATCTGAAAGAAAATATGTCATTAACATCTCTCTGATCTTGAAGATAAAAGCCACATTCCAGGGGTCAGATGGAAAGAGGAATTCCAAAGAGAGAAGGTATCCATGCACTCATTGCCTTTGCTTTTCAAATTGATTAGGATTTAAGGTAAGTGGTTTATTGTTTCCACTTTGGGATTTCTGGGGCCTATAAAGAGTTCCAGAAACAGTCTTTGAAAAGACAAGAGGCAGTGATGGCAGGTGTCTCGGTTCACTTTGTGCTGCTATGAGAGAATATCATAGACTGGATAAGTTATAATGAACCGAAATCTCTTCTCTCACAGTTCTGTAGACTGGGAAGTCTAAGATCGAGGCGCTGGCAGATTCAATCTCTGGTTCCAAGATGGCACTTTGTTGTTGTGTCCTCCAGAGAGGAGGAACATTGCAGCCTCACATGGCAGAAGAGCAGGAGAGAGCAGGAGAACCCACTCCCTCAGGCCCCTTTTGTAGTGGCAATAATCCATTCACAGGGCGGAGCTTTCACGACCTAAACGTAATCCATTCACGGGGCGGAGCTCTCACGACCTCAACGTAATCCATTCACGGGGCGGAGCTCTCACGACCTCAACGTAATCCATTCACGGGGCGGAGCTCTCACGACCTCAACGTAATCCATTCACGGGGCGGAGCTCTCACGACCTCAACGTAATCCATTCACGGGGCGGAGCTCTCACGACCTAAACGTAATCCATTCACGGGGCAGAGCTCTCACGACCCAAACACCTACCACAGGCCCCACCTCCCAGGACTGTTGCATTGGGGGTTGTTTCCAGCACATGGATTTTGGGGGACACATTTAGGTCATCGCAACAGGGAACCCCTGGCAAGTCTTAAACTTAGATTTTCATCAAGGTAAGAAAATGATTATAGTCTCCTGGGCCTTCATTGTCTGTAACATGTCTTTTAAAAACTTAAAGGGGGAACAAATGCTACACTGAGGGAGGCATTGGTCTCTGTTGCCATCTGCATGGAGTCCCCATGGGTCACAGGTCTCTTAGAAGCACAAGAGAGTGAATGGCAAACCGAAGCACTCAGTGGCCATTAGAGAAATGACACAGGGCTGACGTAACTCTGGACCTGGGCCTTATCATTCGTGTGGGTGATCTTGCAGTACTGGGTAAGGCATGGGTGTGTGTGTGTGTGTGTGTGTGTGTGTGCTCATAGGATCTGCCACCTGTTGTAACAGCACGCTTTCCCAGTGTCACAACACTCCACCGATATCTGTTTATAGTCTTTAGACTTTTTTCTGTTTCCCTCTCTATTGGGAGAAAGCAGGAAGGAGGAAAGTAAGACTTGGTGAAAAAGATGAATGTAATGAATATATAATAATCCAGAAAAATTGAGGAAAAGGCCAATCCAAAAGAATGGAAAGTCTGGATTATGGACTACTATGGACATATGTGGCATTATTACTTTAAATATTCCATCGGGTAATGTACACTGGTGGTTCATAAATTCTGAATCTACCCAGGGAAGCCCTTAATTATATTTTCCTGCTCCTTACCATCCTCCCAAATCTATTTGACTTGGTGGCTGCCAACAATACACTCAAAACACACTGCTGCCCCTCCTACCTAAATGACCGAGTGAGCCACTACTCCCTGACAAACCCACAAGTGGCTTGACTATTTTCAAGAATTATTTTACTACAAAACCGAGGTAAACAAAATACAGAGCAACAAGAACAGAAAGGCTAAGGTGACCCAGCTAAAGCTGTGACCATCTGGACTGGGCCTCACCTCTAAGACGCTGCCCAGATTCTCAGCAGTCCTTCCTTCCCCATCTGGCCCTTCCAATTCCCCCTCCTTGATCCTCCCAGCTGCGCTGCAGGCCTCTGGCAGTCTCTATAGGCTCCAGCTGTCTTGATGTTGCCAAAGACCTACTCAGTTTACGGTAATGAAATCTAAAGGCGGTGTACCCTTTGGTGTGGCTTTGCTTCCACATAGAAGATTCTAAGCCAGCAGCATCTTTTCTTAGTCTGAAAATCTGGGGAGGCGGGGTCAGGCGGGGAAAAGAGAAAGAACTGTTTACTGTGGAAGGGAGTAGTAAGCAGCTGCTCTGCTAGGCACTTGATTTATAACTTCCCCGAAATGTTCAGCAGAACCCCGTGACCCCTACCTTACAGATGAAGGAACTAAAGCCCAGAGAAGCTTAAAGCTGCGGAGCCAATGAGTGCCGGGATTCAAACGCAGGCCTGCCGGACCCTGTATTGTGTGCTCTTATACATCATACCACTTCCCCAAGGCCACCGCCTTAACAGCAGTATATAAAGTTTCTCAGAGAGCCAGAAGCATACAGTTGTCTCTTCCTATTTCAAAACTCAGTCCTCCCTCTTGCACAGCCTGGAAGTGTTCACTTCAGATCTCAGTTGATTTGTTAAGTAGGACTGCTAGATATGTTTGTCTAGCCCTTGTTGCAAGCCTCCAGCAGGCGGGAGGTCGTAGGGGAGAGACCAGACCCTGCAGAAGATATGGGTAGATAAAAGAGAGGGCCCTTGTTGACTTGCTGTCACTTCCTATTTTTCTAAGATGTTCTCTTATGACCCATCACTGGGAGGAAAGAGTAGATCTCTCCCTCAAATCCTACAAGATTAAAAAATTAAAGCTATCATACAATCCTCTATGAAAGTGAGATCGTAGTTACTTCAAGACACCTGCAATAATGCTATTCATGGTAGTTATTTGCTAGGCTAACCCTCTTTTTTCTTTGCATGGACCAAGCAGAGAAAAGCTTCAACCCCACACTCTTTGTTAGTACTGAATATGAAGTCTCTGGTTCTGAGCTTGGTGGTGCTGCCGTTTTTCTATTTTAGGGTTAGATTTTCATTATTCTCCTCCACTCATTATCTTTCTTCTTTTTTAAAAGCTTTTCTGAAACCTTTGTGTGTACTTTCTTTCTTTCTTTATTTTTTTGAGACAGGATCTCACTCTGTTGCCCAGGCTGGAGTACAGTGGTGTGAACTCGGCTCACTGTAACCTCCTCTTTCCGGGTTCAAGTGATTCTCCTGCCTCAGCCTCCTGAGTAGCTGAGATTACAGGCACACACCACCATGCCCAGGTCATTTTTATATTTTTAGTAGAGACGAGGTTTCGCCATTTTGGTCAGGCTGGTCTCAAACTCCTGACCTCAAGTGATCTGTCCACCTCAGCCTCTCAAAGTGCTGGGATTACAGGTGTGAGCCACTGTGCCTAGCCTCTGTGTGTACTTTAAATAAACCAGCTGAAGGAAATGCAAAGCAGAATGAGATTGTTCCTTTTCTCTACTGGCATTTTTCTCCATGCAAAGATGAAAAGAAGTATATTAACATTTACTAATTTTCCCATCACAAGCCACAAGCCTTCAGCATTTTACCCCAATTGGAAAGTAACCTGGGATGCAAATAACCCCCACTGCAAGTACAACTTGACACTCAAGCCTGAGGTGGCCACATCTTCTCCAACCTATTAAATAAAACCTTAGGTTTTTCCTAAAACAAAGTGAGTCACTCAAGAGCTTCCTCAGCCTGTTTGAAGCCAGCCCTGCCCCTGGCTGAAAGCACTGGAAGTTGCAGGGGCACATGCTGCTGGCTAAAACCTGGGCAGAACTTGAGGGCTATGGTTCATTTGTTTGTTTTGTTTAGAGACAGGGTCTCTGTCTGTCGCCCAGGCTGGAGAAGGGTGCAGCGGCCCAATCACAGCTCACTGCAGCCTCAAACCTCTGGGCTCAAGTGATCCTCCTGCCTCAGCATCCCCAGCTGGGATTACAGGCATGAGCCACCATGCCCAGCTAATTTTTCAGTTTATTATAAAGACGGTGTCTCACTCTGTTGCCCAGGCTGTCATTTGTCGAAGGATCACAGAAGTTGGAGCTCTGGGCTTTTTTGACTCTGACTCACCTAGTTAGAGTCACAGCCTCAGGATCACAGTTCTGTCTGGACACTTATGGAAGGGGCAGTGATCAGCTCAGCAGGATTGTCGATTAGCCTTGTAAACTAAACTCCAGTGCTATGTCCACCAAGAGCACAACAAGCTTCGTGCTACAGATCACCACAAGGTGGCACACGTTTAATGACCATGCCCCTCTAAGGTGGTGGGAACCTGCTATTGCCAAGCTCAGGAGTTATTTTGGCCTCATTCTGGGCTGGCAAAAGCTAAGTTATTAACCTGAAACTGTAACTGGATTTTTCTTTCTTGCTTTTAGTGTATTTCCCTCATTGATTAAGTACTATGTTGTTAGGAGATAAAAACTTTAAAGACTTTAGAAATGATAAACTACTCATGTTGCCATAATTTCATCCCCAGTAAGGAATAGAAAGAAAAAAAAAAAAAGCTGAGCCTTGAATACTTTGTCTTCATGAAAAAGTTGCTTCTGGGCGTCAGGTCTGGCGCCAGGCAAAAGAGTGAAACAGGTGAAGTGTGGCTGGACTTCTTGCCATCTTTCTCCCTTTGCTCTCTGTCTTCTGATTTCACACTCCTCCCTAATTTCAAATAATACCCTTTTTAAATTTGTTTAAAAGGTTTAAAGCCCGTTTTCAATATTTCATACAGAACCCACTATAGGTCATTGTTTTTCATGTAATTTTATGTGCTTCCACCGTACTTGATGGGGGCCTTAGCATTCTCCGACCCCACCCTGAAATCTCAAACGATCATCCCGGTGGGCAGTCCAGGAGGAGATTGGTACCAGCTCTGCCATTCTCCAAGTACACTGACCACAGTGTAGCAGAATGCAGCTCTCTAGAAAGAAAGGGAGAAGGAAGGAAGAAAGGGAAGCAGAGAGGGAGGGAGGGAGAGAAGAAGGGATGAAGAAAGGGAGGGAGGTGAATGAAGGAAAGAAAAAGGAAATCAATAATCCAAGACATATTATCTACATATATGGACAATTCATCACAAAGTCAGATCTTCCCATGGTGCCCTAATATCTTCCAGGGTCACACCAGGACTATTACACAAAGTCATTTACAACCACTGGGTAGGAAGAAATCTTTTGCACCTAGATCTTTGGCTGGTGCAGCATTTTACTCTTTCAGTACAATCAGTTGTGCTTTTCTCCATCAGGTTTATGGTCTTCTCCCAGTCAGTATATCTCCTAGCCACCCCTCCAAATTCCTCTCTGATCTGGACAGGGATTTCTTTGATCTCCTAAGCCCACTGTTCCATTGTAAGTGCTCAGGTCAGGAGGCCTCTCCTCCTTTGCACATGTGGGGGCTCCAGGCACAGGAGGTGGAGGGAGTGGAAGATGGGAGTGGAAGGCTTCCTCGTATCCATTCACTGGGGTCTAGGTACCCTATTCTCATGTTTGTGTGTCTCCTCTGAGCTACAGTCACAGGGGTCACTTTGCTTGGCTTGGAAATGAGTTGGAAAAAACCTTTCAATCTGGCATCCTTCCTATTGTTCCAACAAAGGTTTGCTTCTTGGGAAAGCACCCCAGTTGTCCAGCAGTTTACTCTCGTTTGACCATTGGGAAATATTCAAGTAAGTTCAGAACAACCAGACCATCTCTTTCCTGTTTGTTAAACTTGCGGTGCTGAAAGCATAAAGGAACCTACCTTAAATCACCAAGTTAGAGCTCCAATCCTTGCTGTAACCCAGAAAAACTCTGCTTCTTTTTGTTTTTTTCTTCCTCTTTCCTATAGGCCTCTAATCACCTCACTCTTACCCAGCTAGTCCCCCTTCCTCTTCCTCCCATGATTCTCTATCTCTCCTCTCCACCCCACCCTTCTCTGACATCTCCCTTCTTCCCTTCATCACTTCTGAAAAAAAAAAAAAAGAAAAAAAAAGGAGGTACATTGCAAGATGGAGGAGAGAGGGATGGAAAGATAGGAAAGGTGCTTTGTAAAATTCAGGGAGTAGCAGGCCAGGCCTGGTCAGTAGCTGTGTTAGGCTGTTTTCACATTGCTATAAAGAATACCTGAGACTGGGTAATTTATAAAGTAAAGAGGTTTAATTGGATCATGGTTCTGCAGGCTGTACAGGAAGCATGATGCTGGCATCTGCTCAGCCTCTGGGGAGGCCTCAGGAAACTTACAATCATGGTGGAAAGCGAAGGGGAAGCAGGCATGTCACATGGCCAGAGCAGGAGCAAGACAGAGAGACGGGAGGCACTAAAACACTTTTAAACAGCCAGATTTCATGAGAACTCACTCACTATCACTATCACTTGGTAGGACAGTACCAAAAGGGATGGTGCTAAACCATTCATGAGAAATTCTCCCTCATGATACAATCACCTCTCACCAAGCCCCACTTCCAACACTGGGGATTACATTTCAGTATGAGAGTTGGGCGGGGACACACATCGAAACTGTATTAATAGCCTACTCAGACAAGACTCTGTCCTGGCCCCGTATTCCTCTTAGAAATTGAAGAAAAGGAAAAAAGAAACCCTCTCGTACCCTACAACTCCCTGAGCTTTTTAGTTGCCAACTTTAAACAAATTTTCCTACTTACCTAAATAGCAGTCTCCTACTGGTAACTGAGAATAGTCACATAGATGCCACCTGAGTGCTGCATCTACAACACTAATTAGAATAGACTATTTTGCACATCAAATAGGAATAGCTCTAAAACATGGAAAAAGGTATCCATTAGAATTTCCACTGAGTGTCATTTAAATGAGCATGTAAAAAGGTCTTTCAAGTGATGTGCTCTTTATTTATTTGTATTTTATTTATTTATTTATTTATTTATTTTGAGACAGAGTCTCGCTTTGTCACCCAGGCTGGGGTGAAGTGGCGTGATCTCAGCTCACTGCAAACTGTACCTCCCGGATTCAAGTGATTCTCCTGCCTTAGCCTCCCAAGTAACTGGAATTACAGGTGCATGCCACCATGCCCAGCTAATTTTTGTATTTTTAGTAGAGACAGGGTTTTGCCACGTTGGCCAGGCTGGTCTCAAACTCCTGACCTCAGGTGATCTGCCCAACTCCCAAAGTGCTGGGATTACAGGTGTGGCATGCCAGGCCTCTTTATTAGTTCAATACACATTTGTATAGAAGCCATTAGTAAAGGGTTTTTTTGTTTTGTTTTGTTTTGTTTTTTTGTAGTCAGGATATCTGCTATTAGGTGTGCAATGAAAAACTTTTAAAAATCCTAAATGCAGGCCTGTGACTCAGAGTATGTTGGATGGCCGGGAGAATGGGCCCTGCTGCATGTATTTTTGTAGGGTCCTTTCTTCTCCACACCTGGTTTGTGTGATTCCGTCTCTATTCTGTTTCAAGCCTCTTCCCTGGCTCTTTACGGTATCTCGTCCAGCAGCACCTGGATCTGCTTCACGCACTGCAGGAAAGGGTCCTGAAGTGGCCACGCCAAGGCGTTCTTGGAGATTTATTCCTTAAGTTAACAAATGATGAGGTAAGGTTTTTTCCACCCCTTCATACATTTTACTTATATGGATTTGTGTCTCATTTGTCTACTTCTCTTAATAGAGAATCTAGAAGCAATGAATTTCAGAGCTAGAAGAAACACTGAAATCTAGTCTTTCTCATTCTACATACAGATCATGGAATGATTCAGAGAGATATAAAAGCCTTGCTGAAATCACCCCGCTAGCTAGGTAGTTGGAGATGAGTGACTTTCAGAACCCTAGGTTAGGTCTTCTGACTTCTAGTTCATAACTTTCCACTGTACTATAACTGCCTCCGTCGAGTATGCATGTGGATGTGTGTATGTATTGTGTATGTGTTTGTGTTTATATAAATGTATGTATATATATTTGTGGGCTGGGTGTAGTGGCTCATGCCTGTAATCCCAACACTTTGGGAGGCTGAGGCAGGGGAATTGTTTGAACTCAGGACTTCAAAACTAGCCTGAGCAATACAGCAAGACCCTGTCTCTATTAAATTAAAAAAAGAAAAAATGTATATGTACATTAAAACATGTATATATATGCATGTGTATATATTTATACACACATATATGTACATATATACACATGAAATATATACACACACATGCATATATATACATATGAGAGTTTGTTTATACATGTGTATTTTCACACACAATTTTCATTCCTTGGGGATTTTTTTTTAAATGTGATGGGTGGCTATTATCTTGAATTTTGCAATCTCTATAATATCCTACAAAGGAAACATGATCCAAGCCAGAGGCTGCAAACTCAAATGCCTACAGGGCCAGACAGTGGCATCAATGAGTGAAGTGAACACAGTATGGACTGGTGTGAAGTGTGAGCTGCAGTGGAGCAGCTATGTTGTTTTACAAGGAATAGCTACTTAGCTTTGTCCAATCATTATGCAGGAAAAAAGGACTAGAGTTGCCAGAGCTTCTGATATTTTAAGAAAAGCTGGAAATCCAGAGTTTTGTGGGAAATTTTCTTATTTTTAAAAGATTGTGTGGGCTAATTAAAATTGGTCTGCAAGCCAGACTTTGCCTGAAATCAATTTTTGTGTATCAATTATTCTCATCTGTGGGTAACAATACAAAGTTTACAAATTATTTTCTTCTATAGACTAGAGTGGATATAATGTACTAATATCCTCTAATATCACTTTTACTTACTTGTGTTCAGTATTCTTCCTTTTGCTGAGAATTATTATAACTTTATAAGCTGAGAATGATTTTCCTAAGGGGATAATGCATAGATAAATATGCAATTAGTGGAAATATGCAATTACTAGAAAATGTTGTGAACTACTGATCTGGATGATATGAAGCGGGATGGGCAGAGTCCCTCATCTGGATGTAGATGATTGACTGAAATGAAATTAATTACAAAAATAAAATATATGTTTTTATTGTTAAATGACTAAAAAAATACATTTTCAACTTACATGAACCTCCCTCCTCCCTTGGTTTATTATTTCACTTTCTCTCATTAGGGAGGAGATGCTGAGTTTTGATTCCAAAACAGTAGGGATGTTTACCTTAAAACCAAAATTTTTTTTTAAGATACTTTTTTTTTTTTTTTTTTTTTTTTTTTTTAAGACAGAGTCTCGCTCTGTCCCCCAGGCTGGAGTGCAGTGGCGCAATCTCGGCTCACTGCAAGGTCTGCCTCCCCCGTTCTAGCAATTCTCCTGCCTCAGCCTCCCAAGTAGCTGAGATTACAGGCACCCGCCATCATGCCCGGCTAATTTTTTGTATTTTAGCAGAGACGGGGTTTCACCATGTTGCCCAGGCTGGTCTCAAACTCCTGAGCTCAGGCAATCCACCCGCCTTGGCCTCCCAAAGTGCTAGGATTACAGGAGTGAGCCACTGTACCCGGTCTAAGATAAATTTTTTAAAGCCTCAAAATATATAAAATAAAGAACATATTAAATGAATAAGATAATCTCTGCAAAGTACTCTTCTTTTACATATATGACTCTATGAAAATATTATAGATCCTGTTTTCAGGTTCTTACCATGCATTTTTTATGTTTGTTTTAAAGAATAATTTCTTGGATTATTATGTTGCCTACCTAAGGGACCTGCCTGAGTGCATCTCATTGGTTCATGTTGTAGTCCTGAAAGAGGTGAGTTAACACCATGTATATGCTATCCTTCATCTGCACGTGGTATCATATGATGTTGCTCATCCATGCAGTCAATACAGCACATGCACTCTGCTTTCTAGGCTGGGGAATGGCCCGAACACAGCCACTAATACTGCTACCTGGCGTTAAAGGAACTCACTTGTGGATCAGTGCCATTGTGTTGGTCCTCTCCCTGCCTTACTGACCCTCTGTTCCATTCCGTTGGAACTATAGACAAACTATAGTTCTATAATGGGCGTTCTATGCAGAGATCTCCAGGCTGCAGCTCACCTGCTGTATGTGGCGGGTTTTTTTCAGTCTCAGAAGAGGTGAATCCGAATATTAAACTTCAGTCATCCTTTGTCGGTTTATAAGATCATAAGGTGGCTCTAGTCATGTTGCTTGAAGTATTGCTACTGCAATGATGCATTAGGTGCTCAGTAAGCACATATACATGTATAACAGCTTAGTTATTTCAGATCAATAGGAACAAACAGTATCAGAAGCCCCAACACTAAGAGTTAATCAAATTTCACAAGAGATGAGAGGCTCTGTCTTATTAAGTTTCTACTTCAACCCCCCACTACTCCCAACCCAGTATAATGCCTACCATGTTAGCTTTCAGCAAATACCTGGGAAAGAGAAGAGAGAGAAAAGGAAGGGACACAGAGAAAGTACAGCATGTTTTCTGCAGCTAGCTGACTAGTTTCTAATGACACTCCCTTTTCCACTCTTCTGAGACACCAAGTCTCCCTTAGAGCCTATTACTACACCATTGTCATGATTACTTGCTGGAGAGTCTTAATGAATTAATTCAACTCAAATAGAGGTTATTGAGTGCCGGCTTCTGTCTGCAACTGCGCTGAGTGGAAGGAGAGGGTAGTTTGGAAATTTGGGTGGATTCAAAAGAAATATATGATATGCTCCCTATGGGAGAAGAGCTGTCTCCTAGGGCATGTCCCTGAACATGTGGCCTCTCCCATGAGAGGTCAATGCTCTGTGACAATCTCCGGGAAGAAAATGCTCCGGGAGGAAACCCTTCCTACTCTGGTGGGACCGACTCAGGTTCTGCTGCCACAGATGGAGGAACACTGAAGAGTGACCTGACCTTTTTTTCATTCAGGGTGATGAAGAGATTAAATCTGACATCTACACGTTGTTTTTTCACATAGTCCAGCGCATCCCTGAATATCTGATACATCTGCAGGTAGGCATGGGTGGGAAAGCCACCAAACTGATTTGCATGCTAAATAATTATTGGTTTTGGCTCCCAACTGAGAAATACTGTAAAGCCTCAAGAATCATTAATATTTCTAAGAAGCGTTTACTTCGATTGCTATGATTACCCCATAACCCATGATACCCTGTGGTATGAGCTAAAATCTCTCTCTTTTTTTTTTTTTTTCTTTTGAGACAGAGTCTTGCTGTGTTACCCAGGCTGGAGTACAGTGGTGCGATCTTGGCTCACTGCAACCTCTGCCTCCTGGGCTCAAGCAACTCTTCTGCTTCAGCCTCCTGAGTAGCTGGGACTACAGGCATGTGCCACCATGCCCAGCTAATTTTTGTATTTTTAGTAGAGATGGGGTTTCACCATGTTGGCCATGCTGGTCTTGAACTCCTGACCTCAAGTGATTCACTCGCCTCAGCCTCCCAAAGTGGTGGGATTACAGGTGTGAGCCACTGCACCCAGCCTAAAATCTTTATTTCTAAAAATGTTCAGCTCATTATGCTTACCTCTGAAGTTCTGTCTTTACTTACCAGCAACTTCCACCTCAGCTGATCCAGGACCTTTCTATAACCACTCCTGCTAGATTCTAAGCACTTCATTCAGTTCTTTCCATTTTGGTTTTACAGCTATCTAAATGCCACCACCTGACATCTAAATATCCATCTAATCTGCTCACTTAACTGCTATCCTGACTACTTTCTTTTGGCATGGGTCCAAGGTTCTACCATGCCATGTTTAAGCTTTATGTCACAGAAAAGGCATGAAGATGATGAGCTGATGTCTTCACACCATTTTCCTGCAGGGCTGGTGATATCCTGGAGGAAGAAGAATTGAAAGAGAGGCTCACTAACCCCCACCAGATCTTCTTCTTCCCACCACCCACCTGTTCTGGTTTAATTGCTGACTGATCTTCTTAAGTAATGAAAGCATCTTAGAAATGCTTGGGACTAATCTCAGGTAGAAGTAGTCCAGTAGTCCAGTAGTCCAGTATCAAAGTATCGAAATTGAAAAGACTTTTTTTTTTTTTTTTTTTTTTGAGACAGGGTCTGGCTCTGTTGCCCAGGTTGGAGTGCAGTGGTGTGATCTTGGCTTGATCTTGGCTCACTGCATCCTCAACTTCCCAGGCTCAAGCAATGCTCCCACCTTGGCCTCCTGAGTAGCTGAGACTATAGGCACTTGCCATTATGCCTGACTTACTTTTGTATTTTTTTTTTTTTCTTTGAGACGGAGTCTCGCTCTGTTGCCCAGGCTGGAGTGCAGTGGTGCAATCTTGGCTCACTGCAAGCTCCGCCTCCCAGGTTCACGCCATTTCCCTGCCTCAGCCTCCCAAGTAGCTGGGACTACAGGCGCCCACCACCACACCTGGCTAATTTTATATTTTTAGTGGGGACGGGGTTTCACCGTGTTAGCCAGGATGGCCTCGATCTCCTGACCTCGTGATCTGCCCACCTTGGTCTCCCAAAGTGCTGGGATTACAGGTGTGAGCCACCACCCGTGCCCTGAAAAGACTTTCAATTGTATATAGCTTTAGATCCTAAAAGCATTTTCTCACAATAATGATCTTATTTAATCTTTTCAACAATCCCATGAATTAGGTATTATTGTTGTCACATTTTACATGAGAAAATGCAGGGCCAAAAAAGTTAACAATTTACCCAAGTTAACACACCTAGTAGGTAAAAAAAACTAGGACTGAAACCCAGGTTTTGCAAATAGTAGAATATGGCAAACAAGACCTGGTTCTACTCTCTGACTTGAGTTCAAACCTTGCCTCCATTATTTACTAGATGTGTAACCTGATGAAGATCATTTACCTTCTTTGTACCTCAATTTCCTTATTTGTTAAATGGAGTTTATAATAGTACCTATTTAAGCAGGTTGAGGTAAAAATTAAATGAGATAGTATACGTAAAGGGCTTACTACCTGGCGATAGGAAGTACTAGATACATTTTAGCTTTCCCAAATACCAGTCACATGCATGTTCCACTACAGCACAGCGGGGAATGTACAGCGGGGAATGTAACAGGAGGGGCCACCAGGCTTGATCATAAACATCCCCCTCCCTCGCCTGCCTTGATGCCTGACGTTGTCAACATTGGTCTGGCTCTTTTGAGTTAAGGCACTGCTTATAGACAGTAATTGTTAGAATGCCGCTATTACTTCAGAGGTCTAATTAGGAGATGCTTCTGACTTTTCAGATGAAATTATTTTATGCTCACATTCAACTCAAACAGGTCCGATAGTAACTTATTTTCCCTTGGTATGATAGAAAGCAGCCAGTGTATGGTCATACTTTCAGCGTATAATTAGGTGGGCCATGTGTATTGTTCGTTGTTTTGATTAAATGGCTATCAATCTCCCACAATAGATCAAGGTAAGGTGCAGAAGAGACAAAACAAATTTTCTTGCTAATTATGCAATGCTGCTTCCTTTTCCCCTCCATCCAGAACGTCCTGAAGTTCACAGAGCAGGAGCACCCTGACTATTATCTACTACTGGTGTGTGTCCAGCGCCTCCGAGTATTTATCTCACACTACACCCTGCTGTTTCAGTGCAATGAAGATTTGCTTATTCAGAAACGGAAAAAGCTCAAGAAGTAAGGTTCTGATGGTGCGGTCTAGAGGGTCAAAGACCAGTTACTCTGGGTGTCTTTCACAAGTAACCACGTTGTGTGTTAAGTAGCTGAAATGCAGTGGTGGGAGGTAGAAGGGAAGAGAGAAGGGGAGAGAAAGAGCTAGTCAGACTGGCTACAGGAGCAAGTCACTGACTACCCGGTGGAAATTATTTTAGCAGAGTAACACTTCACTCTACTGCTTACATAGACCCACTCTCATCCCATGTTGCTAACCACCTCAAAAATAGTTCAACGACTCTAAACTTGCCTGGTTCAAAATTGCAGTTAAAAGGCCACAACATAGTTTTCTTTATCAGTTCAACAAGTATTTATTGAGCACCTATTGTGTGTCAGGCACTGTTCCATGCACTGAATATACTGAAAGGAACAAAACGGCCCCAACCAAATCTTTGCCATGTGGCGCTTCCTTTTTAGAGTTGGACAGTGAACAAATAAATAAGATGGTGATATGTGATATGGACAAAAATAAAGCAAATAAGGGAGAGGAATTTCGAATAGGTTTTATATTAGGGAGAAATAGGAAGGGTTTATTAGGGAGAATCTGAGCTTCGGAGGGAACAGAAGCAGCCCACAGCACAGCTTCCTAATGACCTGGATTTCCTTCAATTTCATCCCAACTCCTGTGGAGGAAAACAGAATCATTTCTGTGGAAGCTTCAGACCAGAAGAAGATGCTGTCTCCCAAGCCAGGGCTCCTGTGATGGAAGATGTCTCTCCATACCCCCAACCCCTTCCCCCGAGTTCTTTTCAGCCAGTGAATCAGCTTCCCTACTCTTGCCAGCTTGCACCCTATTAAGCAAAGCAACTTAGTTTGCAAAGGCCCCTGGAGATAGAGACCTTCACAGCAAACTTTATCTGAGACATCTCTCCATGTTTTTTGGCATAATCTGTGTTCAGAGAGCCAGTTTGCCACCGTACAACCTGAGAACCGTTACTTCCATTCTGTTAGGTCATCCATGGCGAAGCTGTACAGAGGACTGGCTTCCCAGTGTGCCAATGCCGGGCAAGATGCTTCCCCCACTGCAGGCCCTGAGGTTGTCCGTGACACCGGGATCCACTCAGAAGAGATGCTGCAACCCTACCCTTCTGCTCCCAGTTCTGGCCCTGCTGTCACGTAAGCACCTGTTGCTGTGGGAAGGTTAAGGTCAATGCCTTTGGGACCCAGCCAGTCCGTGTGGGTTAGCAGGGCAGCCTAGATTCCACCGTCCCCTTTCCCTATCAGGCCTATATGTGCCAGCCAAGCAGACAACCCAATGCTTGGGTCCCAGAGGAAGGCACTAATGTTAAGGGACAGGTGTAGAAAGTGGGAAGAGAGGCAGAAAGTAGATATTTATTTCATGGATCACTTCAACTCTTGAGGCAGTTATGAAACTTCATCTTTGAAATGTAACAAATAGAGTCAAAATATGAAACCCCTGGAGATTATACCCAGATTGAACAATATGGCTGCCACTGCACCCTGCGTATGGAAAATAAAACCCCCAATCTTTCTTCCAAGTTAAAAGAGAATTCAAATGAGGTCAATATTTTGTCTCACTCTTGCACATGTTAACGTGAGACCTAATTTTCATTTTAAGACCACTAGAGTAAAATATTGGTTTTAGCATTTATATTTGCATTTTTTTTTTTTTTTTTGGTACTGAAGTACAATGGCATGATCTCAGCTCACTGCAACCTCCACCTTCCAGGTTCAAGGGATTCTCCTGCCTCAGCCTATCGACTAGCTGGGATTACAGGCACGTGCCACCATGCCCGGCTAATTTTTGTAGTTTTAGTAGAGACGGGGTTTTACCATATTGGCCAGGCTGGTCTCGAACTGCTGACCTCAGGTGATCCGTCTGCCTCGGCCTCCCAAAGTCTTTGTGCATTTTTGTGGTAGAATTAAAATATGAATACATAAACTAGCAGAATAACCACTTCTGGTCAGTGTCCGTTTACATCTGTCAATGTAAGTCCAGCACAACTGGACATCCCATCTGCTGGTACCCTATCCTAGTTTGTAAACTGTGTAAATTATCCATTACCCATGACTCCAAAACCAAAAACCCTCCATGAAATTGGGCATATCGAGTGACAGCTTTTTTTTACATATTGGTAATTCTTTGTGGGTGGAAGTTTGAGATGAATTATATAGCATGGTTTACAGTGACAACGAATATTTTTAAAATTTTATTATGAAAATTTCAAATTTACGTAGAAGAGTACAGTGAACTCCATATGCCCTCATTCAGAAGTTATCAAGATCATGCCACGTTTACTTTATCTAGGAACGTAATTTGTTTCTGAGTGTGAAGATCCACAAGTCGAACAAAAGTTGAGTTTCCATTATTTTGGATGACTCTGCTAGGGCAAGCAAGGGAGAGAAGAGAGTTGAAGGTGTGCCTTGGAGCACCGCGGGTGGTGAGGAGGGTCAGGGCTTCCACGCGGGGTGATGCCCGTCCCTGGCCCGCAGGCCATTTCCCAGAAGCTCAGACAATACCTTCGGGTCTCCGCTCGACGGACTGCCTTGTCCACTCTCCGCCTGGGGACGGGGGTTCGTGGGAGCGCCTTAGTGGAAGTTTGTGGAGCTTGGGACGTGGCATGCGCAGGCGCCTGGGAGGGCGGCCAGGAGGGCCGCGGGCAGGCGAGAGGCCTGCACTAACCCGCCGTCAGCACACCTCTTTTGTACTCTGTTTCCCCCCTAAAGCCATCTGATGCCCCCAGTGAAGAAAAGTCAACAGCAGCAAAGCCTGATGGAGAGCATGCAGCCCGGGAAGCCCAGTGACTGGGAGCTGGAGGGCAGGAAGCACGAGCGTCCCGAGAGCCTTCTGGCACCAACGCAGTTCTGCGCGGCCGAGCAGGACGTGAAGGCGCTGGCCGGGCCCCTGCAGGCCATCCCGGAGATGGACTTCGAGCCCTCTCCGGCCGAGCCGCTGGGCAACGTAGAGCGCTCCCTGCGCGCCCCGGCCGAGCTCCTGCCCGATGCCCGCGGCTTCGTGCCCGCGGCCTACGAAGAGTTCGAGTACGGCGGCGAGATCTTCGCGCTGCCCGCGCCCTACGACGAGGAGCCGTTCCAGGCTCCGGCCCTCTTCGAGAACTGCTCGCCCGCCTCCTCCGAGTCCAGCCTGGACATCTGCTTCCTGCGGCCCGTCAGCTTCGCCATGGAGGCCGAGCGGCCGGAGCACCCGCTGCAGCCTCTGCCCAAGAGCGCCACGTCGCCGGCGGGCAGCAGCAGCGCCTACAAGCTGGAGGCGGCGGCGCAGGCGCAGGCGCATGGCAAGGCCAAGCCGCTGAGCCGCTCTCTCAAGGAGTTTCCGCGTGCACCGCCCGCCGACGGCGTGGCCCCGCGCCTCTACAGCACGCGCAGCAGCAGCGGCGGCCGCGCGCCCATCAAGGCGGAGCGCGCCGCGCAGCCGCACGGCCCGGCTGCTGCCGCTGTAGCCGCTCGCGGCGCGCCCCGGACCTTCTTCCCCCAACAGAGGTCCCAAAGCGAAAAACAGACCTATTTGGAAGTAAGGAGGGTAAAGTAAAACCGAATCGAAACCCACAGCGTCGACGACCCCAAGTCTAGATCTGCAGGAAGCATCCCGAGTTCTCCTAGTGTGGAGGGGAGCGGGGCCGGGCGAGGCTAGGGGCTCGGGAGCGCGCTCGGGGGGCGGCTGCGCGAGCCGTCGGGGGGCGGAGGCGGAGGCCGAGGGAGAGCAGGGGCAGCCCTCGCGCCCTACAAGCTGTAGACTGCTGGGCCCTGGAAGGGAAATGGCAGCGTCTGTTCTCCAGTACCAGGACCCAAAGAGCATTCCTCATAAGGTACACGAGGGACGGCAGAGGTAGCAGAGAAGCCCGTGACTCTTTAGACCTGATTTATCACACACACATTTAGGGAGTTATGGGGAATCTCTTCCTGCTTATGTTAAGAGTTGCGCTTTTTTCGGAGCACTGCACGCCACGCAGGTCCCGGCCAGTGTGTTTCTTCTCCCTGTGAGGTGTCGTTTCTATGTGGAGAATATGGAACACGGCGCCCCAGCGTACCCCACTTCCTCCGGGCAGCATTCTTGCTTGTAGCTAGGGAGGAGGCAAGTTGCCCTAGCTCAAGGTAGACTCGCTGCGCAGTTTGCTGCAAAGCCAGCTTTATTTCTGCTTGCTTTGCTTTTGACTGGAAAAAAAGTGTCCTATTAATTTGAAAACTTCTTTGGGACAGGGACATCCCAAAATAGAAACACCTTCTTTGGCCTCAGTGAATGTTGAGGTATTTTGATGGCCAACATCTGTGTCTGCAGGTCTACCGGTGTTTGATATTTTGATATCTAATTGTGGTGTCTGCAAGCCTGGAGGGCATTTAAAGAGGTCTTTAAATACTTATCCAGGAAGTGCTAATAGTTTCTGAGCAAATAATTGCTCTGATCTGATTAAGCAGAGCATAAGTAACATGATAGCTCTGACCTGTGCGACCACCCTTCCGGTCCAACTATTCTCATTTTCGAATGGAAACAGTGATGATCACTGACTTTTTTCATTCATTCATTTTTCAGCAAACACTGAGTGCTTGTCTTGTACCAGGCTCTGTGCTAATTACTGAACATTCAGAAATAAACCAGTCTCTATCCTCCGGGGCCCCTGGCTTAGTACAGGAAGGAGACACAGGAACACAGGATTATGTAATAAACTGTGGGAGCACATGGGAGGGATATTTAAAACCTTTGGGGTCATGGTGGTCAGAGAAGGCCTCCTAGATAAGTTGAATGTCTGAATTAGATTGTAAAAGCTGCCTAGAAGTTGGCTAGGGGAAGAGTGAGGTAGGGAAGCATGAGAAAAACTGGGTGATGCCTTTTCTCTGGCATACTGTGCCAGGTCAGAGTGGTGGAAATTAGGCCAGAGGAACAGGAAGGGGTGGGATCATGAAGAGCCTTGGAGCTTGCTGCCCACCTGCACTCCAGCAAAGTCTGTGTCTGGTCCCTGCAGAGGACAAAAAGGTGGTAGTGTGCTCAGCCAAAGCTGCTGAGGTTCCCTGGGGTTCTCAGATTTTCCTGTCGCTCTGATTTTCAACTCCAAGCTTCGTAAAATTTGATTAGGCAGAACTTTTTGGAGAAATCAATCTTAGGCATGTGTCAGAGTTTAGAAGTTTATTGAAAAGGGAAGTAAATGGAAATTATAGTGCCAATTCAGTGTGACTTAGGATGAGCAGAGGTTTACATACAAAACCTTCTAACTAGTATAGTCTGTACTGTAAAGAACTTTTATTTCATATGTGATAGCAATGTCCTTTTGTAGTTGATCTGTGAAAAATTTGGGGTTCAACAATTGCAAGGCAAAAACCATTAATCAGAAATAACAATATATCTGAGAAGCAAACAATGAGTAATATATTTGTGGCTGTTTACCAGACATACCAAATAACAATAAACAGTGTGTCAGGAACTGTTAATTGCACATACTGGACAGCAAGTTTCATCTCCTAGCACATACTGGACAGCAAGTTTCATCTCCTAACAGTGTCAGGCATGTGTCAAGTCAGTTCAAAATGAGATACCAAGGAAATGTCAGATGGAAGTCAGTTAAGAGAGGCATTTTCTCTAGCAATAGCATTAACATTTTCAAGCATGCAAAGTTCCCGTTACTAATTTCTGTTTCTGGACACAATTTTTCTATCTAAAAACTTAAAATGGCCTGGTTGTTAGGAGTCCTAGAGAGAGGTTGCATGCAGAGTGCAGGTGGGCAGAGACCATGTGGGCATACATATGTGCATGAGCATGTATGTGCATGTCTGCATGTCTGAGTATATATGTGCATGTTTATGTGTGTTGGAGGTGGTGGTGGGATGGGGTTTTAGTTGCAAAAGATAAATTCCTCAAAAACTCTATCCTTAAAGGTATCAACTCTTTGCTTTTGAGATGTGCAAAACTCCTAGTGTTTCATCCCTTTGTGTATCTTTCAGCCAGCCCAGCAGAGCCAGCTGAGGCCTAGTCTTTAGTGTTCTGTCTCTTTTAGAGTCAAGAAAGAAGATGGTATGCTCTAGTGAGAACACATGACTGTGAGGAGATCTAGGTTCTAGTCCTGGCTCTGCTGCCCAGTAGCTGGGTGCTTTTGGACAAATCACTTGGCTTCTCTGTGCCTCCAGTTATCTCAAAATAAGACAACCTGTCTCACAGGGTTGTTGGGAGGATCAGGCCAAAGAAGATACAGTTTTTGAGTAGGCTTTATAAAGTATGAAATGCTATTGAGATCATGGTTCCATAGAAAGATTTTCCTTAAACCATTACTAGATTTAGTCACTAAATAGTCTCTAAAAGCGCATTTCTCAAAATATGGTCCTTGGGGGCAGTAGCAAATGCATTGCCTGGGAACTTGTTATAAATGCAGAATTTACACCCCAGACCTACTGAATCAGAATTTAGGATCATTCCCAGGTGATTGATATAAACATTAAGTGTAGGTGGGCAGAAGCATGCCTTAAGTCAGTGGTCCCCGACCTTTTTGGTACCAGGGACCAGTTTTGGGAAAGGCAGTTTTTCCACAGGCTGCGGAGCGGGAGGTGGTTTCGGGATGATTCAAGTGCATTACATTTATTGGGTACTTTATTTCTATTATTATTACATTGTAATATATAATGAAATAATTATACGACTCACCATAATCTAGGATCAGTGGGAGCCCTGAGCTTGTTTTCCAGCAACTAGACGGTCCTATCTGGGGGTGATGGGTGAGAGTGACACCCAAAGTGTGTCGCTTATGTCCAGTTGACTCTGTAATCTCATTTTGGTTGCTGTGGCTGCAGAAAAGCCGGCTTCACAAACATCGGATGCTGAAAATGGAAGCGGGCTTTTCAGTGCTTTGTGGCAATCTCATGATGTTCTGCCTTGACTTTAATCCAGAACGTATGGAGATTTGAAATTGTCTCAAACCTACTTTTAAGGCCACCAGATGCAGCTGTACCATTGAAATTCATCAACTCACTTGCCACTATAAAGCCTGCCACCAGATGCAGCTTAATTGTCACTTGCCACTTACTGATAGGGTTTTGATATGAGTCGGCAAGCAATTGATTAATTATGGTCTCTGTGCGGTCAAACCTCTCTGCTAATGTTAATCTGTATTTTCAGCCACTCCCCAGCATTAGCATCACTGTCTCAGCTCCACCTCAGATCATCAGGCATTAGATTCCCACAAGGAGTGGGCACCCAAATCCCTTTTATGTGCATTTCACAGTAGGGTTTGTGCACCTGTGAAAATCTAATGCCACTGCCGATCTGACAGAAGGTGGAGCTCATGAAGTAATGCAGGCAATGGGGAACGGCTATAGAGATGAAGCTTTGCTTGCTCACCCCCCCCCCCACTGCTCACCTTCTGCTGTGCGGCCCAGTTCCTCACAGGTCACAGACCAGTACTGGGAGTTGGGGACCCCTCTCTTAAATCATTCGTTTTCAAATCTAAGTGTGCGTAAGGATTACCTAGGCCTCACTGCAGAGATTCTGATTCAGAAAGTCGGATGGGGCGCAAGAAGCTACCTTTTAAATAAAGGCCCAACCTGATCCTGTAGTGGCGGGACCACACTTTAAGAAACACTGCATGTCTGTCTCCATGGTCTAGTTATGAATCTTAGTAGAATCTCAGAGAATTTCTATATCTGCAACCCCCAGTTCTCAAAGTCAGACCCATATGTTTTCTGGGGGAAAAAAAAAATCCATCCTCACACTTTGCTTCTCTGTCAGCAAGCAGTCACCCATCTAATTCATGAGACTTCTAGGGCATCATTGGTATGGTTTTTGCTTTGACTACTTGGGGTTCTCTAAAGGTTATTCAAAATTCAGCAGCTGTTTTTAAAGTTGCTTTTAAATTATAGTCACCTCAAGGTGAATACTTTGTTCATATGGAATATAAACATATATAAGTGCATATCTGGCTTGTATGCATATAAATATACATGCACTTCTATTTAGCACATCTCACACTTAAAAAACTAGAGAAGTCACAAAAGATGCAGCCTTATTTTTAACTTATTTTACTTTATACTCCAAATAGCATAGGTTAAGAATTGTAAAAACTGTATTACAGGCACATTTTCAGGTTGAAAGTATTAGTTGACATTTTCTTCTAAACAGGTCTGACTTCTCAAAAATGCCTTCCCTCGTTTATGCTTAAAATGGAGAGTGAGGAATATGAGTTTAAAACTAGCGTTACAAGTAAGGAGCATCCTTATTTTGTAGAAAGAGAAACACCTGGAGATATGAGGGTTTTCTAGCACGACAGGGTTGGTGTCAAAATAAGAATTTATTCACTCGTGGAGGATGTTCTTGCAGTCTTCTTTTTAAACATTAGCTAATTTTATTTCCTTATATTTAATTATTGTTATATATTACACTAGACTATTTGCCTTGATACATAGAAAATACTACACTCGGCAGGAAATTATCCTCTTTTCACCTACTGGTTTCTTCATTAGCCTAGGTTTGCTTTAGTTGGGATTGGGTGCCCACTGGTAATCTTTTGGCATGGGAGAGGAAAGTCACAACACCACAAAATTGTCCCATAGTCAGGATCCATAATAACGTTGGAAAGGAGTAAAGAAAAAAATCCCTCTTTTTTGTTTCCAGGAGATGCATTTAGAAGATACTACCAGATTCTGTCCCAAAGAAGAAAGAGAAAGTGAACAAACGTCTTTCAGCGATCAAAATCCCAGGCAAGACCAGAAAGGGGGCTTTCGCAGCTCCTTCCGCAAGCTCTTTAAAAAGAAGTGAGTAGCCCTTAGACAAGACAGCCTTGTAACTCATTTCCCTTTGGGCTCAATCTTGAGGTTTTAACAATAATAAGTATCAAGTACCCTGGTCTCACACAACCGCTTCAGGCACAGTGCCTGCACCCAGTAGCCACAATTCTGGCGGGGTGAAGATGTTTCTCATTGTGATCTCCCAGAGTAGAAGCAAACTCAGCTGTCTGCCCTGCCTCTTCTGTCTTCTGTCCCTTCTTCCTTGTTCCCAAAGTCATATGTCCCAAGAGGAGTGGGCAGAGGTGGTTCCCTTGAGAAATGAGCTGGTGACAATCAAAGCCCCTTTAGACTGGGAGGAGTGGGATCCGCTATTGGGGTTGGGTGTCCTGGGTGCTCCATCACATCTCCCCATCTGTGGAAAGTTGTCTAAGGGATCTCAGTACGTCTGCATTTGGGGGCCTGTTGTCATCCTGGGTGCTAATTCATGTTTATTGGGACTTCTGTTAGTGCTTTCCCTGAATGAGTGGATTTGCCTTGGCCCTAGTTAGAAATCACTTTAATGGAGTTTCTGTATTCCATAGGAGGCAAAAACAAGGCATTTTCCTCCTGTGGGCCTTCTGAGCTTCTAGGTCGTTGTTGTTTAAACATCATCCACCAGACATTTTGGTCAGCACTGTCTTACAGTCTAGGAGGCAGTGGCCACGCCCCAGCATAAAATATAAGGAAGAGAGAGGTGAGCATTAGCATTTGACCGTAGAGGGATTTACCAGTCCAGCCACTGCCTGCCTGAGAGACTGCTGTTTCAATCTCCACTGGCTCAGCCTACCTCTCTCTCCCTTAGATTTCTCCTGCTGCTTAGTTCCTCTTGGTGGAGGATGTTCTTGCAGTCAGTTTTAAATAACAAGTCTTCATATTTTAGTAGATGGAAAAGTTAAACAGAGGCATTATTGCTGCCTTTGGAGAGTTGCCGATAAGTGAGGAAGCACAGGGAAATCACCTTTTCCTTGAAGGTCGAGGTCACTGGCTGATTTAGACTATGGTCCTGATGGAGGAATTGGGGGCAGCCCTGCAGTGAGGACTTTGTTTTTGCTGGTTTGTCTCATTGTAATTATCCTCCTGTGGGGAGGGTGGTACTGAGATTGGTGGGCCTCTGACTGTTGGTCTCTGCCTGTTGTTACTGGAGAAGGGGGAATAGGAAGGAAGAGCAACAGCTCTGCACTTAGCCATAGCACTGCATTCTCTCTCAGTTTTGCTAAGGAACCCAGTGCATGCTTGCATGCTGTTGCAGGATCCTCAACCCACCTTATTCAGGGTTTAAAGAATTGAGAATTGTATTCCTCTTTCTAGGATCATAGACTTACATCTTTCTTGACCCAGTGCCAACATCTGTCAAATTGACAGGGGTGGGAGAACCTGGAAACAGACACTTCTCCATCCCACCCTTGGGATTTAGACTCCTGAATCTTTCTTGAGATGGAGTCTGGCTCTGCTGCCTAGGCTGGAGTGCAATGGCGCAATCTCGGCTCACTGCAGCCTCCACCTCCCAGGTTCAGGCTATTCTCCTGCCCCTGCCTCCCAAGTAGCTGGGATTACAGGTGCCTGCCACCACCCCCCGGCTGTTTTTTTTTTTTTTTTTGTAGAGATGGGGTTTCACCATGTTGGCCAGGATGGTCTTGAACTCCTGACCTCAAGTGATCCACCTGCCTTGGCCTCCCAAAGTGTTGGGATTATAGGTGTGAGCCACCATGGCCGGCCAGACTCCTGAATCCTTCTAAGGACTGCACAATCCTAAGGGCACAGCTTGAGCCTAGCCTTTTTTTTTTTTTTTTTTAACCACAGTATTCCCAAAACAGCCATTTTTTGCCCACTGTCATTTATAATGACTGGGTGCTGTCCGTTGGAAAGCAATGAGCAATAGATTCACCAAATTCCTATTTATCAGAGAGATGTAAGAAAATGTTTTACCAGTGACATGAGGCAGAGGGAGTGGATTTGTCCTCTCTGGACTCAGAGGGCAGAACTGGGAGCAGTGGCTAAGGGGAAGAATTTCTTAAAAATGCAGCTACATGGAACTGGAGCTGGCTACGGCCTGAGGGAATGGATTCATGAGATGCTTCTGGTCAGGGATGCTATGAAAGTGGTCCCTGCATCTAGTGGGAGATTGTTGAAGAAATCACCAGAGTCCTTTCTAGTGTGGATATTTGCTTTATCTGTAGTTTGACTTTGTTGTAGCTTGATCTGAGTAATCACATCTTTTTATCACCTGAAACAAGAAATTAATGAAGCCTTCGGACCTATAATTTTAAAGCCCTAGCATGTAGAAGACCAGGCTTTAGCTTTCTGTAGCTCCCCACCGACCTTGGTATAATGTAGAGGACTTGCTATGGGCTCTCCAAGTTCATGTTGATTAATTGCTGTCAGTCTTCTTGTGGCTGTTCAGGATTCTCCTTAGAAAAAGAGCCAGTAGATTCCCTTAGTCCTCTCGTCCTTTCTCATAGATCAGTCCCTCCTGCATCAATCACGTTGCCGCCACCAATACTGGTGCTGTCTTTTGTATTTAAAATCCGAAGTGTTGTCTGAGTGGAAGTAAAGGTGGAGCCACACAGATGACTGTCAGTCTGGCAGGCTTTCCTGGCTTTTTAGATCTGGCCTAGGGCAGTCAGTACCATCAGGTGCTTAGGGTGCTGCAGTGGGCACTTCGGAGACTTTGCATGGGTTGAAGAGGCAGCTTAAGTAGCGTTTTCTGAGTGTTTTCATATGAGGACCATGGAAAATTTGCTCCATTATAAGGTAGAGAGGAAGGTCAGGGAGGCCCCAGTGTAGCACAGGAAGGGCAGTGGCTTTTAACTCAGATGAGAACACACCATTCTTCTCATCAATTAAGCATTCAATCTTATATGCATGCACTATGCAAGACACTTGTATAGGAATCATGAGCGACATAGTCCCAGCCGTTACACAGGAACTTGCACTCTGAAGTCAGGCCTGTGGACAGTTATAGGAAGGAACCAGGAGAGACATTCAGCCCATTTTCCTCCTGCATGTCAGGAGGTCAGGCTGGCAGCAAGCCCTGGGACTTTAAGAAGTGGCCAATCCTGAGTACGGGAGCCATTGTAGAGCCTGGTCTCACAGGTCCAAATGGGCCAGTGCCAGCAAAGCCACTTGTGTCGTGTCTGGGGCTCGCTGCCTTCCTCCCCCACAGCCCTCTGGAGGCTCATTCCTGTCTACACTGACACACTTTTTGTTCCATAGGGGCTTGTTTGGCTGGTGGCCCCACACACCCAGAATGCTGCTTCGGGATGAAGCTAGGCATGGAGCCAGATGCAACAGAAAACCTGAGAAAGGGTTCTCTTCCCTCTGAGGCTGGGAGGGCCGAAGGCTCATGCCCACAAGGATTCAAAAGGGAGAGTCAAGTTGACATCATTAAAAAAATCCTGAAAAATACCCACAATATTTGGGGAAAAGAATGACCTTCTGATTGTTTCCATCTCAGGCACATTTGTCCTGGGCAGATACAAGGTCACATGTCCCTGAAAGGTACCCAGAATTGATCAGAATAAAGGCTACATATCTTAAAGTTTGGAAATGTTAAGTGATTTTAAACATTTTAAATGAGGATTCTTAGAGGGAACAGACTTAACTGTGGTAGGCTGATGTTAGCTAGACTGATACTTATTCCCCTGCCTTTGAACAGGATGGAAGGCAAACTGTCCCATTCTAGAAGGATCTATACAGAGGCTGTCAAAGACTTAAGCCTAGATTATTGTGAAGTCTGAGGCAAATGATACTTCATCTCAATATATACATCTTGCAACACTTACGTCAACGTGTATTCTTGATGGCAGATGTGACAGTGGGGAAGAGGATCACGTGAGATAGCTTAGATGTAGGGAATGTAGATGGTACTCTGTCTCTTTTTATCCTCAAATTTCGGGATAGTGGAAGATAAAGAATATGGCTTCCAAATGATTAATTCTACTTCCTCGCTCATTCTCTTCCTCTTTAGCACTTTAAAATTTACATGCATCAGAGTGTCTCCCTTCTTGTCATCACCCTCCATCAATCCCATCACTGTCTATTTTCTCAATCACACACAGAGGGGGTACTTCTACAGGGCCCCGTATGTAATCATTTTATCTCAGTGAATCCTCTTCTTTTGGTGTCTTCCCAGCAGTTTTTGTACATGCCCAGCCTCAGCTGTTGAACAGACCATGTAATAGAAAGCAGGGCTGCTAAAGAATCCATTGATAACTTTATCTCGCCTATTCTCTGTCTCCTTAAAAGCTCATTTCAAGTCCCTCTCCCACTCTTACCCACTTTGGAGTTCTCTCTCCTTTTCCATTTCATTTCCTATGTAACTTTAACATTAAAGGGGATAGTTGAAGGGGTAAACATTTTAGATTACTTAACCTTAATTACAAATGTTTCTCAATAAGCCATTCGAAATCAACCATTCAGTTAAGGGTCTTCAATATACTAGGTTCTGTCCAGCACAAAAGATGTAAGAGAAATAGTTCCTGCCCATTAGGAGCTTACAGATCAATTTAAGGGTAACCTAACTATTAATACAAGATATAGTATGTAGCACATAGTAGGCACTCAACAAATATTTATTAAATGAATGCTCATTTGCTTTGGGCTCTCCAAACTCATGTTGGTTAATTGCTGTCAGTCCTCTTGCAGCTGTTTGGGATTCTCCTTAGGTAAAGGGCCAGTGGATTCCTTTAGTCCTCTTGTCCTTTCTCATATATCAGTCCCTCCTCCATCAATCAGATTGCCTCCACGATACTGGTGCTGTCCTTTGTATTTAAAATCTGAAGTGTTGTCTGAGTGGAAGTAAAGGTGGAGTCGCACAGGGCTGTTGCTTTGATTACCAGGGCTGACTGACTGGCCGACAGGATGGGTGTTTCCTTGCCCCTTTATTTCTTGAGACAGATGCATGTCTCCTATAGCTTTCAAGGAGGATAGTTTTTCCAATCAGAGAACCAAACCTTCTTAAGTCAGAGGTTTTTGCAGCACTGGATTCA